TGAATATTTTGGACACCATTGTTGGCCAGAAAAATAAATATTTTGGTCATGAATATGTCAGATTGTCTGTGTTGTCCACACGATAAAAGAAATCTTTTAATTTCAATATTTGCACTTATTGAATGATGATTTCTTTAACTGACGATTAATAAATATTGATATGATTGCTATGTAGTTTGTACTCGTGATTTTATTTTTATATTACATTTTTTTTAAATGACATTTCTTTATATTTTTTTTTCTTGAAAAGATATCGATGAAAACGTTAAGTTAACCAATTTTATTTTAAAGTATATCAATTATTTACATGAGTTTCTCTCAAAATTAGACAAAAACGAGTAATGTTGACCCTGATTACCAAAGACAGACTTCCTGTGTAATGCAATGTGTATATGCATTTTTGACATCTTGAGTATTAGGGCTCTCCGGGTATATAACACCAGTACTACTAAGACCACTCCCTCTCCTCGAGTAACCGCACAGTAAAAAAAAAAATTGGGCCTCTAAGGCCCTCAAAAGCGATTGTTTCTTAAAGTACGGAAGGTATACTAAGTCTGGTTGTAGTATGTTGTTTTTTCACTGTCAACCACATCCACACTAAAACTATCTAAAGATGTTTTATAATGAAATTCTAGAAGTGTAAGTTAATTCAAATAAACATATCAAGGTAGAGAAGAAATTCTTGGAGGGGGTGGAGGCAGACGGACTCCTTAAGGTTACTCGTATAGGTCATGTTGACAGTTACTTGAGCAATTTAATTAAAGGATGACACCTATGCAGCAGAATTTGCTGCTATTGAGTACAGTACGTGTCGCCTGCCGAGAAAATATGTAATTATATTTGATTCCTTTTTGTATTTCATAGGTAATTTTAAAGACAAAATAGTAGCAATAAGACAGTAAAACATTTTTAAAACATATATTTCCCTGGCTGAAGTCGGCATACGTATTTTAATATGACACTTGCTGTCTTTAAACTAATCTCGATCCCGATCAAATTTATGCAACGATTTTCTTAATGTAAAACACTTATTTTATTTATCGTATCTCTAAAGAAAAACACGAAAGCCAAAGAAATTCCTTTTACACACGAAATCAACTTAATTCGTATATATTTTAAAATACATATTTTTGAAAGAAAAGGGACCGTGACGGTAGCTCAGTCGGAAGAACATTCGCTCCGTGATCGGAAGGTAGTGTATTCGAATCTCAGCCGCGACTGACCTAAGTCGATAAAAAATAGTAGCCACTGTTCATTCGCCAAGCGATCGTGACTTTGAAGTAAAAGTTGCGGGTCCTTAGGATGAGACCTTAAAATCGAGGCCCCCTGTCACGGCAGGCGTTGGCACGATAAAGAACCCTAACTGCTCAAGGCCCAGAGTGCAGAGTGAAGGTCTACATTTGTAGCCCTTCACCAGGATATGCTGACGTCTCTATATGAGTGAAAATTTCTCGACTGGGACGTAAAACAACATACAATCAATCAATCAAAGAAGAGGAGTTGGAATGGATTTTGTCGGCTGAATTGTTGGAATGATTTATATTTGTAAGCTTATGGAAGTTCATCTAGGACCTATCAAAATGTTTTTGAATTTAATACAACGAATTGTCGAATTTATTAAAACGAAATTGATTCCTTATACAGTGTATAATTTTTTTTAATTCGCTATAAGGATTGAAATCTGTTATAATAAATTGAATTAGTACGGAAGCCCATTTAGGACCTATCAAAAATATTTTTGAATTCGATATAATGAATTGTCGAATTTGTTATAAGTGCCATCTCCTTCAAAACTTTGTCTCCATAAATTCCAAGCTACATATGATGTGGGCATTAAATCATTCCTGCCTTCCAAACTCAATATAATTTGCCCAGTTTATGGCCTCCCGCAGTTGATCATATCAATTTCATACATGTAGCATGGTATATCATACGCAAGCCAACAGCCAGATCTTATTCAACAGACCTCAGAATTAACTAAAAGATAATAGTTATCATGATCCTTGTTTGATTTTTCATTGTACAGAAATTGCCTCAAATATAAAATTACAATAATATTATTACAACTTGCATGTTTCTTAAAAGTTCTATGGAAATTCAATCCCATAGACAGGCCGTATTATTCATGGTTATCTAAGCTCTGGTTTTATTACATGAAGGTATTTTAATTTTATTCGTTTATTTAATTCTGTTTGGGTATTTTGTCCCTCTCTTTCTGTTTGAATTACAAATATTGTAAAATTGTTGGATCGTATCCCCAGCAAATTACTTTCCCTGTGTTGCACAGAAATTGAACAAAAAAATTTCACATCATGCATTTTTTTACCACTCAGAAAGGAGAAAAAGAGCATTTCCCGAAGACTGTAAATCACTTCAACTCGTACATAGTGATATTTTTCTGAATACATCTTCTGAATACGGAGATCATTCACTTTTAATACTATTATTTCAACAGAAATGCGGAGTAGAAGAAAGACATTGTGTTTAAATTCAAGCATTTCACTTCCAAATAAACAGCATTCTATCCTTACAAATCTATCATAACAAACAAAATTAACTTTTTCTTGTCAAAGTATGACTTTCGTACAGTTTCAGCACTAGCTTTCCATTCTTTCCTGACTTTCCCAGTTTTTATCAATGTTTTCAAACGCTAAAGGCAAATCGGAATGGCTATCAGAAGATTCCTTTTGAGATTTTCTTCTCCTTGAAAATTTATAAATTGTCACAAAAACAACCCCAAGGACAATCACAAGAAAGGAGACGCTTCCGGAAACAACAGCCAGAAATATCGGCGATGACCCCAACTGCAAAGAAACATTAAATTATTTTGAAATTATATTGTAAGAAATCATTTGATAATGATAATTAATCTTTACTCATTTTCTTCATTTATGTAATATAGCATTCATCATTTTCATTTTTCCAAATAAAGTATAGATTTTGATAAACCAGAAGCTTACAATAAAACAGTAGATAGCCTCTAGTTGGACTTTTTGAAACGCTTTCATAGGTTTCCTGTCACAGAAAGCTGACAGTTCACGGTAGCTCAGTCGGTAGAGCGCTTGCTCCGTGACCGGGAGGTCGTGAGTTCGGATCTAGGCCGCGACTGACGTAAGTCGATAAAAAATGGGTAGCAACTGTTCCTTCGCCATGCGCTCGGCACTTTGATTGATTGATTGATTGTATATTGTTTTACGTCCCATTCGAGAATTTTTCACTCATATAGAGACGTCACCATATACCGGTGAAGGGCTTCAAATTTTGACCTTTACTCGGCACTCAGGGCCATTGAACAGTGAGGGATCTTTATCGTGCCAACGCCTGCCGTGACACGGGGCCTCGGTTTTTAAGGTCTCATCCGAAAGACCCGCAACTTTCACTCCAAAGTGCCGAGGGCATGGCGAAGGAACAGTTGCTACCTATTTTTTATCGACTTAGGTCTGTCGCGGCCGAGATTCGAACTCACGACCTCCCGATCACGGAGCGAGCGCTTTACCTCGGCACTTTGAAGTGATTGTTGCTTGTCCTTCGGATGAGACCTTAAAAACCGAGGTCCCGTGTCACGGCAGGCGTTGACACGATAAAGATCCCTTACTGCTCAATGGCCCTGAGTGCCGAGAAAAGGTCAAAATTTGAAGCCTTTCATCGGTATATGCTGACGTCTCTATATGTGTGAAAAATTCTCGAATGGGACGTAAAACAACGTACAATCAATCAATCAATCACAGAAATCTGTAATCTGATGATTTCTTAAGGTCAGCCGACACGTTTCCCAATAATATGTATTTTTCCGATGAATTTGTCATTGAAGTATTGCTTTTCCTCCCCAAAACGTGAGGTACCTTACCAGATACATTTGTATAAGATACCATAGAATGATTTTCCTATATAATCCTACTGAAATCACTTAGATTGTCAAGATCACCATTTTTGGTTTATTGACTTTTCAAAGACATTTCAAAAGCTGGTCAGAAATTACAAGAAAACGAGAATTATGAGTATGTATTTTACATTATTAAGAGAAGAAACAAAACAGATATTCGAGAAACTTGTCCTCAGACCCTAAATAGTCTAAATGTTTTAATGACAATTAATGTTAAAGGAATGAATTTTTCAAAGAATTTCACCCAGTACTTTATATACAGTTGTTATGTCAATACTTTAATTGAAAAAAATCCAACTTCATGAACAGAATTATGTATCGTAATGTTATCTACCTGCTTACTAAGTTCTTTTATAAAACCAGACAAAGACAGAAGGAGAAATCGCGTTTCGAAAGATTGTGTAGGAACAAACGGACAAAGGCCCTGGCAGCTACGTACACTTTCTTAATGCAAGCTTATTTGGTATTTGACAAGTGGATCTAGTAAACAAAAGCGATACAAAGAATTATGTATTTTTGAAGCATGTTTTGTGTACATCGTTTTACATGTATTCAAAAAAGACCAACACTGAAGTAGTAAAAAATAAACAAACACAGGGAATAATATAAACTTTCTAAGCGTAATCTAATTTAATACATTTTTGTTTCCAGAAATTTGATCAATACTTTGGAAGGAGAATCCTTTTAGGAAAAAAGTGTTTACGGACAAACAGATAGATAAACAGACATTAACAATGCATAAGCTCTTCTGAAGTGTTAATAACAAAAAAAAAAATGAAATTGAAAACAGTAGAACCTTATTATTGTTTGTTATCAATGTTCGAGTAGTTTCATTGTCTTTCTGGGTTGGGGTGATGACATTTTCAGGTAAAACTACTGCGTTCTACAAAATATATATTGAAGATGTATTTCATTATAATAAAAAATATTATTAATAAAATTTTTCAGAACAATGCATTTGTTGAGGTTTTTCTTTTTTACTCAATTGAACGAATGGATTAAAGGTTTCTTCTTTGTAAAAAAAATTAAATTATAATAAAAATTAATTTTTTCAATAGACGTTCACTACAATCTTTCAACAAATTACTTTGAAAAATTAAAAAAAAAATTGACAGTTTTACTCAAATTGCACATTCATTTTCACCAAAACTTGTGTTAACTTGAAAATCTGTACCGTTGTAGTCTGTATTTCAACTGCCTGAATTGTTCCATTTGAAAACATAAATTCACATTTTGCTGCATACCCATCATTATCATATGCGATGAGTTGAGCTGACTGTACACAGCATGGCCCACTAAATATACGCCAATAAAAATTTCAAAGAAATAAATAAGCTCAATAAATAAAATGTTAGAAATAATTCATAATCATTCTGCTTATAATTCTAAAATATTTTTCAATTCTCTTATATACAAGTAATATATAAAGGCTTACTTCTTCAAAAAAATATTCATTCAATGCATTTCAGACAGTCCCTCAGTTTTTATTCAATGCCAAACTTCCCTAACCCATCACGTACCTTATATTAACACTAAGATTCTTGTTCGCTATAGTTATAGTTTCATGTTCAACTTTAATGTCACTGTAGGAAGTGGTTATCTGTGTAGGCTTCTTGAGGAAGAATGTGATTTCTGCAGTTCCATTCCAGTTATAATCAGCGCAGGTTTTGGTAGTCAAGGACTCAACTGTACAATCTGAAGATTTGTAAGTGACCAAACACTGCAATCTTTGTACATCAGATACCTATTATATAAAGAATAAACGTAATATTTTATTGAACTTAAATGTAATTTCTTTTAAACTTTCAATAATACACTTTTCTTATGACATGTCATTATATGCACGACGTATATCATGTCGTTATATACACGACATATATGTAATTACTGGAAACCTCAGGCCCAGCATTGTGAAAGATTGTATTAATGAATATAAAAGTCATGTCCTCAGATTTAGTTGTCAAATATAAAATACATGTAGTTTCACAAAAAGTATTGTGCATAAGCACTGTGTATAATGCAGCATTTCGACTTCATTAATTTTAGATTTACAATGAACAATAATTATTACTTACAAAATACCTTCTTCTAGCTGTTTGCAGAACATCAGGGGAGTTCCCAAGTAAAACAAAAATCTGTACTTTTCTGTGGAATTAATGTTTAACACATTTTATCTCAGACAATAAAACATACATTTTATTGAATATATCAGACTAATTATGTTAAAAAGGCACATTCATTTTAGATTTGAGGTAATCTTTTTTTTTTTTCCAAAAGCCATTCAGTCTTTATGTTGAATGTGTAAAATAACTATATTCTTACACTGTAGAACCACTTTGCGTTGCATTTATATGAAACGACTCAACAGCATTTTCACCGGCTTGCAGGTGTTTATTAATGCTGTTTTGTGAAGTGAGATAACCGTTATCCACAGATATATTGACTTTAAATGATGCCTCCACATCGCCAGTATTTGTTAGCTCATACGTAACAGTTCCTTCCTTGTTCACTTCAAAATCACCTGTTGAAATAAGCCATACTGTGAAATAAACCTCTTTGAAGATGTTGTGAAAATGTTGGATAAAGTATATTGTGGAGGAGATAAATATGCATACAATATCATTGGGAAAATAATGAATATAAATCAAATTCAAATCACAATTCAGGGCAAAGTTTTATATTTATCCTTGATGAAGATGATTTTTTTAAATTAATTAAGAAGATTGATTCGTCAATTTAAGAGAATTCTATAAAAACTTAGCAGAGGGACATTCTCCTCGACTATACAATACAAGGTAACGAATTAGCGAAAATTGTTGAAGAATCTCTTTGTCAAAGCTTATGTAAGTGAATCCTTTTTTTTTTCAGAAAAAAAGACATTAACCTTGGATATGTTATTTTGGCGGCAAATTTAAAGGGGACGTATCCGGTGCCTCCCCTAAATTGTTAAATTCAAGGATAAAACACGATTTCTTCTTTGAAATAAAAAAAAAATTAATAGGATAAATGTGTGTAAACAAAAGGCTCTATTTCTATATATTATTGCAGGGCAGGAGCCTCTTGGGGGCTTGTTTCCTAAAGTGTGATTCCAGAGACCTTAAAATATTGGAATTTTTAATAATCCTCAATATTATTCATGGCAACAAGAAATGTAAAAATGTCTAGCTACTTAAACGACTTCATTTTTGCCCTACAAAATCTTTTGAATCCAGGATCCCATGCATTTTTGTTTCCATACATACTTGTGGAGGGGATTATTCTCAACTTGACACCAACTGGTCTTATTTCAAAACGTGTAATTCTTGTGATGGGATTTCCTGCACAGTCATAGCCTTGTATTCTGACACCATTTATCTGAAATTATAAAATTTTACTCATGTAAATCATCCATTAATTAGGATAATTACGTACATTTGAAATCAAAGGCATACTACAAAAATTTCCTGATCTAAAATTTTACATCAATCGTGGAGAATTACCTTCCTGTCAATAGAAATTGCAGATGAAAATCTTGTAATTCCCTCTGATGATATCTTAGTGAGATGTAAAACTTCTATAACTGACCAGGTATTATGTAGTAGAAAGGCTTTTTCTATTGAGGCATTTTCGGGTAAATTTTGCACATCCACTGCTAGTGTATAATTAAAACCTTGAGAAAAAATACTTCAGAATTAATATTTGTAAATTTTTTGTTAAGACTTACAGCTAATTAAAATTGGTAACTGACGAAAATATCCTAAGCGATATCTTAAAGAAAGACATTTACCAATAACAGGATTTGTATAAACTTGATATGACATTCCATCTTCAGCAGTTTCTAAGAGATTTGAAGTGAAATCAATTTCACTCTGAGCCGTTACGTTCACATTCCATGTACTAGACTGTGTAGTTCTTTCCAGTGTCCAATGCCCAGGTGTTGGTGACTGTGTAATATCACAAAATGAATCTCAACATACAGTACTTATAAATGTAAAAGTATAAAGATTTTGGAGGACAACGTAATGCTGCTTTAGCTTTGTGCTGCAACATTTTATATGGGGAGGGAGAATCGTTAATATGACATCTGTCTTTTGATTACCATTTTGCAATAAAAAAAAATACTTGCACTTTTATTCAAATACACTTATGGAAATAGAATTATAAAGCTTGCTTTCATTTCTGTTATGAATAACTCTACCTTAATGGTAATTTTCATGATATTGGAATTGATTGAAAAGGTCGTTCCATTAGAAGGTAGAGGCATCAGCTTATCTAGAGAATAAAGTAAATACTTATAAACTTTAAACTTCTCATTCATCCTTTACGTATTGCAATTGTCGATTTTTGAAATAAAATAAGGAATACTACATACATATATATTACAGCTTCAAATATATTGCTTACCAGTTGAGTCTCGCAGTGCCACATCTGAACTAGATAAAGGTCCAGATATGTAGATTATAAGTGATCTGATTGAGTTATCAACATCTAATGTTACATTTGTTGGATCGGATTTCGCCCATATAAACCAATTAATATTTACCAATGATGATGGCAAAGTTGCCTGTGGAAAGGAAAATCTGTTATTTTTCTTTAGCAGAATTTTAGCATTCATAATATAATCCAAATAAAATGTAGTAAATTATTGATGGTGTATATTTCTATTTTTACTAGAAAATTCTTAAATAAGAAAAACATATTGCACTCGTGTATGAAACTCTGATCATTTGAAATGACATTTATAATTGATAAAATAAAGATTAACAATATTATTTAGATTTACCTTTACAACACTTTCCACTAAAACTTCTAACTGTGAAGTCTTCGTTCTGTATACCTTACCCCCGGTCTCTGACGCAATTTCCTCAAATAATTGGTAGCCAGTGCTTCTTTTCTGTCCTGCAGCAAACGAGAAGTACACATTTTGATTATACAATTTACGCACATACATATCTAAGAACTGTACTTACAAACAAGGTATTTACCGTATTCACAGGTTATATAAGGCAATTACTATTCGTAAGCCATTGTCATGCAAAGGGTTATTAAGTCAGTTTATGACTATCATATCCTTATGGTATCAATGTATGTAATTATTAACTTTAATATCATTTAATATGGTTGAAACGACGTCAGAGACAACATATTTATTCAAAGAACTTGAAATTACTGGAATTAATTAAGTTCATTGATTGATTGATTGTTTGTATTTGGTTTTACATCCGATTCGAAAATTTTTCACTCATTTAGAGAAGTCACCATATACCGGTGAAGGGCTTCAAATTTTGACCTTTACTCGGCACTCAGGGTCATTGAACAGTAAGGGATCTTTATCGTGCCAACGCCTGCCGTGACACGGGGCCTCGGTTTTCAAGGTCTCATCCAAAGGACCCACAACTTTCACTTCAAAGTGCCGAGCGCATGGCGAAAGACAATGGCTACCCAATTTTTAACGACTTAGGTCTGTCGCGGTCGAGATTCGAACTCACGACGTCCCGATCACGAAGCGAGCGCTCTACCGACTGAGCTACTGTGAACGGTTTAAGTTCATTGATTTGAAAATGGTATATACGATTTCGGAGACACAACATGAAGTGCAAAACCACGGTTATTTGTTGAAAATAAGATATCCTTATTCATAACGTTGTTATAAATATGTTGCAACGTCGGACTGGACAGTGCAGTTTGTGTATACGAAATGTTTATATTGATGATGCTTGTAAATTATTGTACATTGTTTTGAATTTTAAAAATTAAATCAATGTTGGCCTATCCATAAATATAATTGCACACACGTGGCAATGTGGCATAATAAAGAAAATGTAACGTGTGTCCATGAACATGTGTAAAAACTCAAAATCCATATGTTTGACCTTTTCGTGGAATTAGCTTTGTATATATATATTTATATTATGTAACTGATTTTTTACACTGCAGATGGGCATTTATATTTGACTTTATTTTTCTTCGTGTTTTTCATTGTTTTTGATTGGTTGTTTGTCTGCTTTGTGTCCCTTCAAGAATACTTCACTAATTGTGATGGCACCCTTTATGAACTGCTGCAGATTTCGACATGTAGTTAAGCCCATTCAGCAGAAAGGGGCCTATTTAGTGCCCATTTCTACTACGACATAGAACCTCGCACCCCGCAGTATTATTTGAATCTGCGAAGTTAAAATCAACTTCATACTCCTAGATTCTATAGATACGAAACGAAAAATTAGCTTTAACAGCACATTTTCATAAGGACTTCTAATTTGATTATCTTCAGTGCTTATATAAATTTATATTTAAATTTTATTTCTTTGATCTTAATTCTTTTGTTGCTTTTATATTTTCTTTTAAGTATTTTGAGTTGGGAGCGAAACTATTAAAGTAACCAGATCCGCCATTTTATATGCTTATTAAATCTATATCATATATACTCACTTTTCGTGTCTCTTTTCCACCTTCCTGTGCAGACGCCTGTTAGAAAATAATCTTGTTCAAGATTTTTCGCCTTCAAACCTTCGATCACCTCATTTTTTCTCCAGGTGTCTTTGGGATCAGCATCAGTACATACTATAATTTTAGATCCTGGGTTGGACATGTTAATTGCTGGAAATAAATTCATGTCAATTTCTTTTTTACAAGTGTGTATCAAAAGTTTATAACAGTCTTGTCTAGAATTAGATGCATTCAGAAAAAGTTATAATAAACTGTGAAATATGGCATATTAATTTGGTTCAGTGAAAGTTATATAATGAACTGGAAACTAATGAACACCGTATGAAGTTTATCTTTTATTTTATCTTTTATATGAGAGAAAATCAGTAAAAGCAAGTTTATCTTTTATTTTATCCCTTTTTTTAAATTAAATCTGAGAATAATCAATACTTATTAAGGAACTAATCTCTTTTCTATTAAAAAATGGAGGGATGTCAACGAGTATTCGAGTACTCGATTATCGTCCGACCGACTATCAAATAAGTATATTTACTCGGTTACTCGTTAAAATTTGTGCTATTTATAGTAACTCAAAATTCTAAGTCAATAAATGGAGAGCTTATTTCTTTAGCTGGTCCTATACCTGATTGGAATTATTGTTTTCACAGGGCTGTATAATAAAAGTTTAATGGAAGATTCTTTTATAGTTCGATATAATTATACTTTTTACTATTCACCAGTTACGGGTCAATAATTTTGGAAATAGACACGATGGAATGGCTACAAGTAAAAGATCAAGTATTAGCGTCAGGAGTAGAATTGACAAGCCATTATGATAGTATTTGATAGAGTGTATATAGAAAAAATGTGCGGGGCTGTGCGATGGAAAAAATGATTTTAATTCAGATACAGGAAGTACCAATATTTCTACTAAGTTAATACTTGTATCGAGAAATGTGTAGTATGTGAGAATAGGTTGATTTAAATAATGAGTGTAAAACAATTTTAAAAGGATATAAAGTTTAACTGACACCATGCCAGGAAAAGCATTTCAACAAGTACTCGACGAAAGCCTCCGTCCATTCGACTAGAGTATCCGAGTGAAATTGAAATCACTAATCAAATGTATTTTTTTTTTTATTAAAAGATTTTATTTTTGAAGATATTACATGTAACTGGATCACATATTCATCTTTCAGAAAAAATTCTGAAAAGTGTATGTGTTAATATAAAACAAAAATTATATATTATTTTTATTTAGATTGTACATGTAATTAATCTGTGTGAGTGTGTGTTTATGTACAAGTAAGTAATAAATAAGTATAAATACCTGTAAGTATCCCGGACATTGCGTATTCTGGGCAATCTTTACCTCCGTAAACCGTGAGATTATCCAGCATAGTAATCATTTCATTCCAGTTTTTGGTTTCTTGAGCAGTTGTTAAGTTTTCTATAAATTCAAATGAATTATAATTGCTACAGTAACTTTTGCCTAATAAATGGCAGGGTTTATTCTCATATATAAGTTATGACATGATTGTCAGTCTGCCCGTCAGTCAAAAATTCGTGTCAGAGACAAAACTTTGAAATCTTTGTCTGGAACTAATTCAAACGTTGATATTTTGTTGCCCTTTGCATAAAGGCTCAAAATCAAACAAAAAGACATTCGTTTAGTTAAAGTAAAAAAAAAAGTATTTTTATATTGATTTGCTTATACTGATTTTTTGTCGTTTGGTACGTGTATGCTAACATTGGGATCATACAAAAGAATTTGGAGTTCATGCTAAAGCACAAGTACATTAAAGCAGTGTTTACTGAAACAAGTAACACGTACATATACAAGGGGTTCAATGAACAATGAAGAGAATGTTACCTGGATCACTAAATGTGACAAGGATATACTTTTCTGGAACATAGATTGAATTTTTGGACTCTTCAACAAGCTTTATGGTGCCTTCCTTAACTTGCTCAATATCGTTTTTCATTGATCCAGTAACATCAATAACGAAAGCCAAAGATGTTTTGACGACTTCCTTTTTCGATTTGATATGCAGAACCTCTTTAAATAGTTGTGGTCCTAAGATATTTATTAAACCTGTGTCTGCAGAGAAAGTAAACGATACAATTCTAGCAAAACAGCCTGATTTTACTACATTCTAAAATGAATTTATTTGAAGCTTAGTTATAGTATTGTCTTTTGTATTTGATATACACATGTACATCCAACGATTTTTTTTTTCAAATCATCAATAAAATAACCTGAGATGACAAAGAGTATTTAAAAATATGTAAATTAAAAAATCAAATGATTAATTCATTGTAAAGGTTTATTTGAAAGTTCGTTAAACATAAATAAAATGTTACTTTTGTTCATTAAAAAATGGTGTGTTGCCCTGGTGGCGGCTTCCAAGGCCTGTGTGTGTAAATGGTGATGGGGAGCGCCATTACTAAACACACGACCTTTGTAAATTCCACCAGTTGCCGGGGTATGGCGAGAATTATCGTCCGATGTTCCGTGACTGCATTTGCCTACGGTTGCCCCGAGAGGTTCTTAAATGAGAAAGAGGAAAACACAATATTGAATCATTCATCTTGCAACCAGATGACTATTCAAGAATTTAAAAAGTCAATAAATAGTTTATAGCAATGAATTTATTCTTGCTGAAAGACACATATATATTTTTAATCAAATAAATATATATGTAGAATTTAATGCTTGCTCTGAGGAGTTCATTCCTTTACTGTTTTAAAAATACTGCCTATGTATAAAACTACTCAACATTTCAAATACAACTTTTGTCAATGTTACATTTCATTGTACATTAATTCAAAGTAATTTGCATATAATACATACGTATATACGTAAATATTTGTATTTCCAATTATTTTCCCTAAAGATTCTTTACAATTTGAAAACAGTTCATTTTTTTCTTATGAACTTCCATGGATGAGCATGGATATTGTTACGTTATAATACCGTACCTTACGTCAAAACTATAGTGCAAACTGTTTTGTTTTAAAATGACAGTTGAATTACATATCTTGTGTCAATTCATAGTTTAAATAATGTAAATATAAGAAATGAATTATTATTTTTTTTTTCAATTCAGGAGATATATGTACTACAACGCTTAATGGCGGCTAACACGCTTTAAGAAATATGCCGGTGTGAAGCGTCGTAATTCATGTCCTCATGACTTCTCAAAAATTAAGTTCATTTCTTGAATATCTTTAGTTTTCCATTTACTGACATTTATGCTTTTAAAACATATCACCTTCATAGAACATCAGTTGAATGAAATCTGAAGAAAACGAATAGTAATCATGCATCCAATAAAGGAATGCAACTTGCGAGCAGAGCAATGATAGACCTTGGAAAGTGCAGGTGATAATGGTATATTGCGCTACTTATCATATACTTAGTAGTAAATACACCGATTCAGCACTGAGCGATACGGGTGACGTCACAATACCCCATATCAAGGACCGGTCCGAAAATACATATTATGTATCGAACCGGCCTGCAAAAATCCATATCAGACCGGAAGTAACGTTTGTATAAAGTTTAAAAGTTAATTAATTTGATTTAATTTAGATATACATGTAATATAATTCTTTACTTAAATTTGTGGACTTAATTTGTTTTCAAAGACCTAAAATTTGCTCTATTAGATTTTAAAGAAAAAGGTCATAAACATGCACGAAGCATTCTTAAATGACTTTCTGTGAACTCTCATATTAAAAATTTTAGTTTATGATAAATTGAATACAACAAACTGAAGTTCATATCATATGTCATATCAGCCCTCGGGCCCCATATCAGCCCTCGGGCCTTGAGGTGGAGATCATGAAGAGAGCTTTTGTCTGCATCATTGTTAAGATAAACCCAAGAAAAATCATGCATTTCGTAAGTATGCCTTCTAAAATCTAAATAAAGTCACTGTCAGCTACTAGTGGTAGTATTTACCAGTTGGTTTATGGATATCCTGGTTTGATCTATAACCACTGGTGAGTTTTGTGGTGATGATATTGTTTGTGCAGCTGTACTTTCCACTGAAAAATACACACACAAAAATTAAGTAAATTCAATTTCATTGAAACATTTGGATGCTTGTTTCTTCTTAATGTTATTATTTCTTGATATAATACATAACCTATGACTACGAAATTGACTATAATTGGATTACAATGTTATTAAAGTATTCCTCAATTTACATAGTTTATAAGACTCTATAGATATTTTTGAGCACGTGTTATACTTTAAAAAATGATTGGGGTATTGTATAGCAGTTCTATATACAGTGGGTTAAAATGTCTTACATGTATATATCAAAATACAGTCACAATTTTTCAGCAATAAGCAAATCAAAAATGTAAAATAATAAAAGTAATATTTTGAAATACCCAATGCATTGTGCAGATCTCTTTCGACACTTGAAAAAAAATATGTCGAGATAATTAACATTAAAGAAAAATCTCCTACATTTATATCAACAGTTACTGCATTTGAACTTGGTTGTTTTATAATTATGTCGTTTTTGTTTTCTAAAATTAATATCTGTTTTTATATGAATGAAGTTTATCTACAGTAGCTACATTCTCCCTTTCTCTAAAGTTTAACATCATTTTCCCTTACTTGTCTCTGTAGCTTAGTCGTAGGGCGTTCGCTTTGTGATCGGGAGGCCTGGGTTCGATTCTCGTTCCCCGCGCCGCGTTAAACCTAACACGTAAACGTTGGTAGTGACTGTTCCTTCGCCAAGCGCCCGGCACTAGAAGTAAAAGTCACGGGTCTTTCGGGTGAGACCTTAAAAACCGAGGTCCCGTGTCATGTTAGGCGTTGGCACGATAAAGAACCCTCACTGTTCAATGGCCCTGAGTACCGAGTATTGGTCTAAATCTGAAGCCCTTCACCGGTATATGGTTTCGTCGATCTCTATGTGGGTGAAAAATTCTGGATTGGGACGTAAGACAAAAAATAATCAATCAATAAACCAATCCTCCCTGCTTCCCTACCTCCAAATAGATAACAAAAATGTTGTATATTTTACCTGTTTTCCGGACAATTAGCACATGTTTTCTCTGTGGTATTTGCTATTTCAAGAACTGTGACATTTTCCTGACCTTAAAGATAGATAATCAATGTTCTTGTTTCATTATTTATTTGAATTCATACCCATGTAATGTTTTAGATCTGAAACATATGTGGAATGAAAGATGCATGATACATTTTTTTTATTTACTAAGGTATCTCTACCTAAATCTGAATAGTGTGTGGCTCCATATATCTCTACCCAATTAGTATTACTATAAAAAGCTTGAATGGTGTACAAGCAATAACCCAGCTTCTCTTGAATTAACTCAATATCCGGATTCTCCGATGATGCCAATGTCTGTATTTGCTGTTTTAAGGACCGGACATAATTATGGGCTGAAAAAAGTTTTTTTAACTTTATTTTCAGATACATCAAAATAGCAATAATTATTTTAAACATAAATATTGTCAACAATTTCTATCACTTGAACTGGCTTAATTTTTTTCATTATGTGTTGAAGAAGGCATTTATATATATATATATAGAGAGAGAGAGAGAGAGAGAGTATTTTTAAAAAGATTTTTTTCCTATGCCTTCCAGTATAAAAGTTTGATCTCCTATTGTGGTCCAAGTCCCAAGTCGAACCCTAGGGTATGTTTTGGGTTGAAAATTGTCCGTTTTATTGAATCAAAAATATTTAAAATGTCAAGATAATTTTTGACTCCTGAACTTGGACTCGAAAAATACATATAAATCGTTGATCTAAGATCTAAGATAACCAACTTAAGCATGTCTCATAAATATTAAAACACAGACACATTAATAAAGATTCACAACACCCAGATTTTAATGAAGGGCCCTTATAATAGTTACCTCTGACAATCTGTTCTCCGTTTACATGGTAAAATGCAGTTTTAGCAAAGTCTCTTTGAATTTCGTTTGTAAAGGACACAATTTTGTTGACCGTGTACAGAAAAGATTTCAAAGCATTTGAATCTAAAACAAAAAAGAGAGGGAGAGTTATATTTCAAATGATATTAAACTCAGAAGTTTTCTTATTCCTTTGCTATTATACAAACCTTCACCAAAATAAATGGAAACCATTGTGCTTTCGTCACCGGTATTATTCACCAAGTTGAATTTTTCTATATAAGAAGCCGCTGCTCTAAAAATTCCATTAAGTGTGATGGAATGATGAGATCTCGATTGCCATTCTTCCGTTATTGTTTGTGGGGGAAAAGCAAATGACGGCACATTACTGGAGAGTAGAAAAATATACATCCATAACTCTGGTCTCTGCATTATTATTTACCTGTTTATCACCAAATCGCTTAATGACACAAATGTATTGTTTTATGTATTTTTGTCATTTAATTTGTTCTGCTCCCTGATTTAAAAAAAAGACATGTATTAAAAGGCATTTTCAAATGAGTTGGGATTGCGTACCTATGTTTGAATTTTAAATTGCTTTGTTTAAGTAAACTGCAAATGTAGACCATCTCCACTTGCATTAAAATTGAGTACATAACTTAAGTCAAAATTTTGATTTGTAATATCTTGAGTTTTATTTTATGCATTTGCTTAAAATGGGCAATTTTATGTAATATTTAAATTCAAATCTAAGATGAAAATTTTGTTTCATTATCAAAATTATTTCAAAAGTTATATTGGTTTGAAATTTTGACTTAAGTCTGTTCTCAGTTTATGGTCTTGGGGCCTGATTCCGACTCTTGATTTGTATTTCCTGAGGATGTTCGCAAATTACGTATAATATGATCAATCATAACCTTGATGTTGAGACCGATAGTTTTTTTTTTAAATCTAACGTGTGAAACATGTTTCCCTTATTGAGTCCCTACCCTACACCCAGGTGCCACATTTTGAAAAAAAAAACTTGCTTCTGTTGTATCTGAGGATGCTTATTTACAGATTTGATTTATAAAGGCTCTGTTGTTCTGTTATGAAAACATGACAAACGACAGATAGACAGACGCCGGACAAAAAGTTCTTTTCAGTCTTAATAGTTTTTCACGAGTGAGCTACAAATGCAACACACAATACTGTTTGAAAAGCAAGAGTGTATAACTGTAGACTTTAATCACTTTAAATTATTTTGTTACATTTGTCTTTGAAAGGGAAGTTTGTTTTACCCAAGTCTATGACAACATGAAAAATGTACATATAATAGTAACAAATAATTGTAATAGTCTGGATATTGAGCAACACTAGTATTTAATAACAATATTTTAAAAATACACTTTTATATCTTCATTTTTCCAATATTCTTGGCCTTGATTTCACTTTAAACTATATTCAACAAATTTACCAAATTGTAAAAATAAATAAGATTTCAAATTTTTCAAAAATTAATCATAGATATTACAAAAACGTTTTTTTTTTTAAATTTTTTGCGAACTGATTTTTTAATCATCAAGTCATTAATCATGAAGAGCATATTTGTTTACATCCGTAATGTGAAAAAAATATTTATATTCAAATTTAACTTTGTTAACATGCCTTATTTTTGAGTATAGAATTAATGGATGTTTCAGATCTTTATCTAAATGAACAATTTTTTTTTTTATTTTCGCCCAATGTTATTTTTAAAATTCATAGAAAAAACGTTAGCATTTAAGCAAAGCCACATCTCTTTGAATTTTCAGTTACCAACTAGATATATTTTTTTACAAAAAAGGCGATACATGTAAAACTCTTCATTTCCTCCTCTTTGTACAATATATATTGGTGGAACAGTAGCCCCACAGAAATAAAAATCAATTGGATAAAACGGAGTACGTTTGTAATGGAAAAGGTGAAGATAAGAAACGATGCTTGTTAAATCTCATAAATCCTGAAAACAATTCAAATAAGAAAAAAAACTGTGATCCCTGGAAACATCAAAGGTACGATCAAGTGCCTAATAAAGTTCGCATTCTTTGTTGGCCAGTCTCCTCCAACGTGCGTACGCTGTATGCAGACCCCAAGACCATAAACTGAGAACAGACTTAAGTCAAAATTTCAAACAAATATAACTTTTGAATTAATTTTGATAATGAAACAAAATTCATCTTAGATTTGAACTTAAATGTTACATAAAATTGCCAATTTTTAAGCAAATACATAAAATAAAACTCAAGATATTATAAAAAAAAAATGGTTGGCTTAAGTCTATTTTCAGTTTATGGTCTTGGAGCCAGGAATAATTATTTCATTAACAATCCTCTTTATTATATTCTAGCTATTTTTTCCGCACAAGCTGATAAGACTGTTTGTTTGAAGTTCCTTTCTTTGTTTTGTAAAAGATGATGACAAAAATTGCAACGAGGATGATTCCTGCTACACTAGATCCGATCACTATACCCACTATCTTCCAGTTATCTGTCGTCTCAACCTGTATTTAAAAAAAAAACTTTCTTAATATACAAAATCAAAAAACAAACATTAATTTTACATTTCCTTAAAACGGCATTGTACGACAAAACAAGAATATTTATAATTTTAAAATAGTAATATATATTGTACCAATAGACCGTGTAAAAGTGTATTTTCTGTAAGAGGCTCAGTTAAGTTGTAAAATGACTTTAAACTCCAGGGATTGATTTCTTCAGAAGGTAAAGGATAATAAAACACATTTCAACATTGTAGCCAGATACATGTAGATGCAATGTGCATGAGAAAAAAGCATTGATATTATGAAAAACATGACCTTACTACCTTTCAGTCGGTTTTATTCATTGTGCAACTTAAAATCTCTGGCTATTGAATGCTTTCTAAATAATTCATAAACCAAAAAAAAATGGGAAAGAACAACTTTTTTTTACAAAAAACAACGAGATTCATTTTCATATCATTTTCATTATTATTAATATTATATTTCAAATCGCATCACAAATTATCTTTTTTGTTTTTTCCAGTTTTTACCGTCTGGACATGTTCAAGATCTTTAAAATAGGTTTTTTTTTTCATTTAGTGTCGACTATACTGATGAAAGCCTAAATTCTTGGGTGAAAATACGATATTTTTTCAATAGCGTGTCATGTGTCAGTAACGTAAAACTTCATTGTTCTTTATATTTCATAATAAGGGTAGATTTTGCGCACAGATAACGTCAACGGTGTTCTTGTTATTTTTGTTATTTACATATAGCAATAAATACAGAGATAAATCATACCTTTTCATCTTCTATTATTTCCCTTTTTGTTGTCTCTTCTGGTACTGTTATTGTTTGGACAAGAGACAAAGGTTGTGTAGACAAGACAAAGTTACATTGGTCGAAATAGCCGTTCTTGTCTGTTATAGTTAAAACAACAGACTGGACACAACAATGCCCTCTATAAAAAAAAAAAAATAAGCAATGCATACATTCTAAAGAAAACCTTCATTGACTGAAGAATATGACAGCAATGCAAAAATTCAAAATCAATTGTGTACGTTTACTTTAAAACCATTTTATGTTATCACAAATTTCGAGTAAAGAATAAATTTTCTAGCACAAAAAGTCCAAAATCACCTTATTGATATTGACAAAGAGGAGTTCGCATCTGAGAAATTCGAATGTTCCAGAACCACTTCATCATTGGACACCCTGATTTCGGATAGCCGCATCGTTGCAGACGATACTTTGACCAGACCTGTCCAGTTATAGGTGGAGCAGTTTCCTGTGTTCAGTGACTCTATGGGGCACATTTCCGGACGATTTAACACAGTACACTGGGCTCTGCGTGTATCTGACACCTTCATCAAGGAAGGGATAGAAAAATAACTATTCACCTTTATGTAATACATATTATATTGTTTTTGGGATTATTTCAAAATATTATAATAAGATGCTCTTAAAAAAAAAATATGAATACGTTGATGTCCAATATTTTTTTTTTATTGATTCAAATATTTACTAATACTTATATACATATCGTATATCTACATTTAGCAATGTAAATAAGTAATAGTGAATATTAGATACGAGAAAGAAGTGAGGCCTATGGTGTAGTTTCCACATACATTATAATCAGTGCAGGTATAACTGTATAAGACATTATTAAAAGTCCTTATTATCAGACAGTCATTTCATCTACACTTCTGTCATCCAATTTCCTTCCACGAACTTTTATTTACAATATTATTAATCCCTGACACACTGTCATTCTTTCAGTCTAGATCTAGGTTCTGACAAAACAGTACTTGAGTTTTTTTTATCCATTTAAGATATTTAATAAAATTTTTGGCTTCGAAAATTAATAAAAAGTAGAGCATTTTAAGCCTTTAGTGTCATTGTTTATGTACCACCTGCATGTTGTTATTTGACTTAAATGTCTTACCGCTTCAAAAGCCTCAATCAGAGTTTTAAAGTTATTTTGTCCTCAATTTTATGTATATTTCGACAAAAAATACTCACAAATGTATTACTCCTTTGTACTCAAAAGTTTTAATGATTCTGATACTCAATTAATATGTGAAATTTAAATGTTAAAATTAAATAAAGACAATTCTAGCTTTTTATAGGATCAAAGTTGAGTTAGCAAGGACAGAACAAATAAATTTAGAAAAAAAATTATTAACGATAAACAATAAAATATAAAGCACGCTTTCAAATGACACAAAATTGCTATCGTCCATCAAAATTTACTTCTTCGTTGAGTCGATGTCGTCTGATGACTCGAATTCTTTATATCATAAATACTCTAAAAACTTTTTGTTGGTGTAATTTATCATACATGTATCTTGTTACACATCAAGACATGATTTATAACTATTTCTCGAAAAAATAACATACATCTATCAATATTTCACCCCAAAGAATGTTTTTTTTAAATGCAAGATTACTACTTAATCATTTTAAAGCAGTACTTACAAAGTATCTTCTTGTCTCTGTTTGAATGACGCCCGTGTAGTTTTCCAGAGTAACAGAAAATTGTAAAAGTCTAAAAAGGAAGACATGTAAAAGAAAGTCTGTATGTGCTTACAGTTTATTCTTAGGATTTATTTTCCAAAATAACATAACCATAATTGCAATTTAGTGAACTTGCATTTATTATTCTGAAAGTAATTAATTAGTTAAAAGTATGAATAATAATAAAGAAAAAAATTCCCAGGTTTGCTTTGTGGACGGAAACCTAAAGATGTTTTATTGTTAATTATAAGGCCATTAGAATTGCAAATGTGAAAACTATCTTGGACGTTTTAAAGATTATCAATCTACTTTATGAAAGGTTTGTACCCATGAGTTACATTAGTGTGTCCATTCCATTACAAAGAACTCCTTGTTTGCTCTGTTCCTAATTTATATAGAAGTCCGTGTTTGCTCTGCTCACAATTTGTATTGTTTCAATGGACTTTTGAACTTCATTACTGTTTGTTATCTTCATATTTCATATAAAATATTTTTTAATCTTTTTAAAAACTTAAATTTATTTCCAAAATGAAATACAGTTTTTAATAAAAGTATTCATTAAAATACTGGTTCATATTAATGTTCATGCAGCTATATATATATATATATATATATATATATATATATATATATATATATATATATATATATATATATATATATATATATAATGACCAAACTTGAAACACAGTATATAAAACAATATATGGCATCCCCGAATAATTCACTTTTACAAGTTTCCTGAGGGTAGCATTTTAGACTTTAATAATTAAAAATTCAGACGTTCATGGCTGCATTCTAAACAATACACATATCTACAATAAATTGATTCAAATGCATACAAATTCATAATCTGTTACCAATATCTGTTCTCAAATAAGTTTGAATTTTTGTGTATTCCAGATCAACGTAAACCAAATTGATTTACTAATAAGTGATAAATAACGTAAAGTGCTAAAATTCATCATTTAGCCAGAGTAACCTTAAACGCTTATGAAACAGGAATTCTTTCAAACCCTTATGAAGTTGTTCACGTAATATGAATCTTAAATACATCTTGAATAGAAATACAAGTCAAAGCACTTACAATCAAACGATTAGGAAGACACTGTGTCAGTTTTACTCACATGGGTTTCAGGGACCTTGGGGTAACCATAACAGCACCATTGAATATTTGCCCAGCATCTAAACTCTTTGATTGTACGCTGATGTTTGTACTTGTTTTTCTATCTGACACTGTTATCACGAAAAGCACAGTCGTATTTCCGGTATTAGATAAAGTAAAGGAGATATTTCTACCCTCATTTAATCGTAAATATCCTGGAAGAAAGTGTTTAAAAATAAGTACTAGTATATGATCATGTTTATTTTTTTTTTAATTGTTATATCTGGAACACCGTTTTGAAATATTAAATAACATCCAGAGCATAAAAAACTTGTCTCATCCTCAAATATTTAACCATTTTTTTCTTCTCTTTAATCACACCTACAGAGGGATATTCCTCCAAAATCGTGTGACTTTCATTTTAAATAGTATTGCGTTTCAATTAACTTACCGAGAACAGGTGAAATACGCAGCTGAACAGAGACGGGTAAAATTGAAAATGTTTGACTCCTCAAAAATTCGCTTCCAAATTCATCAGTTCCTCTGATTTGTACGTAGCTCGACTAAAAAATTAATGCATACTCCAAGTCTGAGTTAATAACACTAACATTTTACATCTTCTTCTTCAGATATTGTTCTTTACAACAAAGGAAATGTGCTAAAATTCTCATATTCATTTTTTTAATAAAAATATTCAAAGATTACAGCATCTTAAAGGATATTACCTCCCTCAATGGAATAAAGTCTCCTATAAAACTAGCTATACCCGCCATAGCAATCCTTGTCAATGGAATCTCGTTTACGATGTCCCCATTATTATCTAGAAGACCAGCACTGCTGCATGAGGAATTTGAGTCAAGATTTTGAACATCAACGACTAGCCTGTAATTGCGTCCTGGAATTGGAAAAAAATATGTTTGTAAGATTTCTGGCAATATAACAAGGTATATTTTACTAAAATAAACTACATAAAATTACCATCAAAGTAAGTCAAGGTGTCAAAGTTTTTGCAATAATGATAGTAAATCAATTCTAAACTTTTCTTTAATCAAAATATCAACATTTTTATTTAAGTATATCCAGCTTTGCTACAATAAATTGAATTGAAGTCCTTTACTATGAAATTCAAATTTTAACATTGTACGATTCACTTAATTCTCATTCAAGTGAACAAAAGTGCCACAGTATCAAGGTTTGGTAGCAAACCATTATACCTTAAAGTACATGCACAGTTTACTGAAGTTACTATAACTATCGTGTTTGGGTAGTATTCCGAGAAAACCTACCTTTTATTGGATTTCCAGACAACTGGAAAGAGTTACCCCCCGTGCTGAGCTCTAGTATACTAGCCGAAAAATCCAGAGGGCTCTGGGCAGTCACGTTCACAATATAGGCATTCATCATATTCCTTCTAAGTATCCAAATGCCATACACTGGATCCTTTTAAAGGAAAAGGTATAATTGGAAAATATTTTTCTATACACTTGTAAGACTAAATTTAATAATTAGTATGTTATGATATTGACCTTCAAACACCATTGCCAGGCTAGTATCATGATACATTTAAACAAAATTTGATTAAGAAAATATTGATATTGCTATTCTTTTCTTATGGTAAATAATAATAAAAAAAAAGATTCAAAAAATATTCAGAGAGGTCAGATTAAACATATTAATTTGGTTGGGGTAAACACAAAATAGTTTTCTTTTGCAATGAAATAAATTCTGAATCCGTCAAAGACGAAATATGCAATACCAAATAAATTTCGAATACCTACCCGAATTGTAAATGTCAAAATATTGTCTAAAATGCTTTGCTGCATCATCTGAGATGAAAATGTGACATCTGAACCTATAACATATACCAAAACCTTGAAGAAATGGTTAAATATCAAAATACAGTGCCTAAATATTTTATGTCATAAAGAAATGAAGAAGTGTTAATTCAGTAAGCAATTATTACAAAAGCAATAGCTTCTTTTCTTCTCTGTCTGTCCCCTTGAATACTATTTTCTTATCAATATTATCAACTTTTCTTCAAGTGTTTTTCACAAACCAATTTCAGTTCTTTAGATTCATAACATCACATTAGAGGGCAAATTATAAAATTCCGACACTTAAAGTCCCTGATCTACCCTTAGAGATAGCTAAAATCCTATGTAGGTTCGGGTTTCTGCAGAACAATGACTGCTTCACAGACACTTGGCAAGGAAACTTCAAAGTTATATCATAATGATTCTCGGGTATCTTTTGATGCTTTACTTTTCCACCTTGAATTCTTTACCCACTAGTAGATTTCAGAATTTTTAGCAAAACCATACCGTTGGGATAATGCAGAGAGAACTCGGATTCTGTTGAAACATTCTTAATAAATATCTTCAATGTGTTGATGCCATTGTCTACATGAATGCTATAATTTTCATTGGACATGGATCTGCCGGGAATCACAAACCATGTGACAAAGACATTGGATGATGGAAATGTCTCCTGCAAATATATATATGTAGATAGGAAAATAGACGTGAAGTTTTGTCAACAGATTTGAATATTCATAAACAAATTTCAAATACAATTTGCCATGGTATCTCAGAGAGATTCCCCTCCTTCGAAACATTTACAATTCATTTAACGAAGTGGAAAATCAAAATTCTATCTAACATTAAATTAAGCTTAGAATGAAAATTCTTTGAAAGGTTCTCCGCAAGGCGTTTCAAATTTGGGTGGAACTGACAACAAATTCTGGAGGACAAGAAACTCTTTTAAAAGAAGACATTATATGACACTATCCAAAGTACATAACAACATTAAACGTTTTAATATTTTAAGAAGGATAAAATTTATATTTTACGAACCGGTATACTTGCGATTTTGTAATTCGACAGACGTTGCTAGCCAAAAAAAGTGTCGAGCATAAAGATAGGTTGAAGTCCTGCTTCTTCTTCAATTTATTAGAAATAAAATAACTCATAAACCGTAGTATGTGTTTAGGGACTTTTAGGACAACTCTCGGTAGAAATATAAATAATGAATATGTTTCTGTTTTTGTTTTTGGTTTGTTTTTTTTTTTTTTTTTTTTTTTTTTTTTTTTTTTGGTTTTGGTTTTTTTTTTCCCGCGGGGGGGGGGGGGGGGTTGTCAGAAGCTGATTTACACATAAGGAAAATATGAAAATGTTTAAGGAGACTAGCCATAGTCTGACAGAAAGACAGACTGACATTCGGTTAAATAATAAGTATATTTTGTTTGATGAAAATTTACTTCAAATATTGAACTGATGTAAAGTTCCATTTTGTAATAAAGCAAGAATGGTGAATGGGAAGTACTTGTTAACTAGCAGAATGTTGGTAATATTAAATCGAAATAGGGTGGGTGGTAGGAACTCTGCACTTGGACTACTTAAAGGTTCTTCCATTTCATAAAAAGATTCCTTTAAATTTGGATTACAATTATTGACTTGGCGGAAATTGGTATCATGAATAATTCAATATGAAATGAGATTTCACTTTCCTAGTGTCCTTTATCAAAAGCTACTTAGCTTCATTTTTAATTTCAGATAAGTAGATTTGTAAACTTTATATGCATAATACTCATTAAAGGTTACTTCTACATACAAATATTACCTAACAAATATAAATGGGTACAATCATGGCCATCATTTACCTATCATTCTCTTATTTGTATGTGCTGATTCATAATACAACGACCATTTTATAGCAATGAAACAATGTCTTCACTTGGTGCATACCAAGTTCTTAATTTTCAGAGGTTGCAGCAGCCTAGTAGTAGGGCGCTCGCTTGGTGATTCTCGTTCTCGGCGCCGGGTCTAACCTAAGCTGTAAACATAGGTAGTGACTGTTCCTTCGCCAAGCGCCCGGCACTAGAAGTGAAAGTCTCGGTTATTTTGGATATACACTTAAAAACTAAGGTCCTTGTCACAGAAGGCATTGGCACTATAAAACTCTCACTGCCCAAAACCCCTAAACGCCGAGCAAAGGTCTAAATTTAAAGCCCTTTACCGGTATATGGTGATATCTGTACGAGTGAAAATTCTTTAATGAGACGAATAATGAAACACAATCAAACAATCAATCAATCAATCAATCATAATTTACATAAAATTTCTTTTCGTTGAGGTGTATAACCGATGAAGTAATGTAAGATTAACTGCGTATGCTGGGATTTTAACGTTATGAGCATAAAAAAATATCTGAATGTATAATGGACCAGTACTTGTTTTTCAAGTTTCAGTGTTTTAATAAATGAAAAAGAAAATCAAACCTTTATTTCCTTCTCCACAATTGCTCCAAGTAACCCCACTTTTGTTTGAATGACTTTACCTCCAGCTTTCTCAGCTATTGCCTGAAACACCTTCAAGCTCGACCTTTTCTTTCGATGAGTTCGTAAATTTTTCACAGCTAACAAACTTTCGTGTGACTGGACTGTAAAGTATGTGATCAAAATGAAACAAAAAGAAAAAAATGGAAGCAAATAATTATATCAATTAAAATCAACCTTATTTTGTATTTATTAGAAGCCAAAAGATATTTCTTTAAATCAATCTGCATGATTGACATTTCAGCAATTTTAATCTCTCTGGTGAAATCTACCTTGAATTTCTCTTTTCTTTCTCGTAGAACATTGTCCAGTTAGGATAAATATAGGTTTTATAGATTTTGCTTTCACGTTCGCATCCACTTGAGGTAGTAATTCTTCGTCCTTTGCGTCTGCGTCAGTATAGATATAAATTTTCGAATTTTCGTTCGACATTTCTATCCCTAATGTAAGAACGTATCAAATTAATATTAGAATAAGGTCCTTGTTTCAAAAATTAATTAAATTGTTAGATATATCAAACTAATTTTTTTTAATTTCTATATCAACAATTTTTTTTATATTTTTGGGGAATATTTCATGCCCACGGAAAAGAAATTTAAAAGGATTTCTCTTCAACTATAAAACTATGTATTTGAGTAGTTAAACTATGAAATAAATTGTAAACGGCAATTTTAAGTGAATCAATTCACTCTTCGACAAGCATAGAATATCATATTTAAGAAAAAACTAGCATCAGCTCTTCAAAGTGTATATAGGCGGATTTGTAATAGCTAGAACAAGAACTGAGTCAGAACAATACATATTTTAAAAAAAAAATGGCCTAAAAAAATTGAAGGAACTAAAGAAAAAAGGACAGTTAAAATAAATATTCTTTTTTCATACCATTTAGTACAAAAACAACAAAGTTGAAATGTTTTAAATGAATTTTAATTGTCTTCATACCTTTTAACAATCCAGTCAAAGCATACTCGGGACAATCGTCACCTCCATCGACCTTAAGATTCTGAAGCCATGTTATCATGGTGTGTGGGTCTGTCGTTTTTCTACCAGTCGTCAACGATGCTTTATATATAAATATATTTGTTTAGAAACATCAGATCTATAATGTGACAACGAAACCAATTTTTATAATTCATATTTCATGAAAATATACATATCATTTATGCTAAAGGGCTTCCAGTAAATTTATAGAGTGACAGTTGGATGTTAAGGTGTTTTATTTTACTAACCAGGATCAGAAAATGTAACGAGAATGTAGTTTTCTGGCACAAACTGAGAGTCTCTAGCCTCATTGACTATTTTCTGCGTCCCCTTTATGACCTCTTTTATGTTGTCACCCATGGAGCCTGTGACATCAATAACGAAGGTTAAAGACGTCTTTACCACATCCTCTCTGCTTCGTATGCCGAAAACATCCCGGAAAACCTTTCCTCCCATGAGGCTTAGAAGCCCCCTATCTAAAATATGAAAGAATTTAAAAATGCTTTCTCTATATGATTAAAGTGTTTTGGTTGTAGAGATTAAAATAAATCCATTATCAGTTTATGTACATGTATCGTTTCTTTAATGTTCAATGACAATAACCTGGATCAACAAGGAAGTACTGTGTAGCGGAAATGGCTGCTTCTGCGGCTGCGCGGTGGAAGTTGCTATGCGGAGCCTCGCTTTGAACAGACCTTCCTTTATATATACCGCCAGTAGCGGTCATCAATCGACTTTCGTCATCTTGTGTTCCGTGGCTGCATTTTCCACTTAATCCCTGTCCTAAAGTAGTACGTGTATTGGAAAAAAATAGATAAAAATTTATAAAAACATTAGAAATATGTGATATTGTTCGTACAAATGTGAATAATGCTATTGATGAAATAATGGCTGGGTGCTGCTTATTCAACTATTTATAAGTATACGTAGAGCACGAAAAATTGCACCCATATACTTGTTTTAAACTGGTGACAAATGTTGTGTTCAGTTTTTTTTTTACCGTTTTTGTATATGTCCGTTTTGTAATTCATAACGCTTTGTGAACAGTATCATACTTCAGACAACATAAATCCTAGCTTCAACTGTGTGCAACTTCCGTAATGAAAAATCATATTGTAAAGATTAAAGGAAATGCTTATCTTCTGATCAAAGCAACAAGCTCTATGATTCATCTCTTTAAAATGTCATATCTTACTTGATTTAAGACTTTCGACATCGCAGAATGATCCCCTGGTTAACTGATTCCACGAAAGTGAATTTATGAAATTTCAGCCATATTTATTGTTTATATTGTATCATTTTATTAATGCTGTTTCTTTTTTTTTTTCAAAGTTCATTTTTTGCTAAGTTCATTTTGGATGATCTGTTAGCTAAAATTCTACTTGTTACGTTAAAATCGACTGGTGCAGTTTTATATCTGAAGTGGTGTGACGTCGTTCTTTAATTCAATGACATGTATTTTAGAGCATGAAGATTCTATATTCTACCCAAGAGGGCAAAGGGGAGGGGGACATGATCTGAACAAATTTGAATTTTCACTAACTGAAGATGCTTCCATATAAATATTAGAAACATGGCTATAAAAGATTTTCATAAATTAAATATTCTCTTATAGATTTTCTTTTATATACTCCAATGTAAAAACCTGTCTGATGTTCTATTGTAGCCCCGCCCTACCCCCATGAGTTGAACAAGCTGGAATCTAGACTACCTGAGGATGTTTCCGTATTTTAATATGACCAGTTATGGCTTTGTTGTGCTTGAGGAGAAGCTTTTAAAAGATTTTTTTCCTTATATTCATATGTAAAACTTTGATCGCCCATTGTGGCCTTGTCCTTCCCCCGGGAGTCAGGATTTCATTGATTGATTGATTGTTGTTGTTTAACGTCCCTCTCGAGAATTTTTCACTCATATGGAGACGCCACCACTTGCCGATGGAGAGCGGCACTCAGCGCGATTGAGTAGTGAGTGATCTTTTTGTGCCAGCACCTACTGCGACACGGGACCTCGGTTTATAGGTCTCATCCGAAGGACCAGTCTCCACGTCCTGCAGTGGGATTCGAACCTACGACTAAGGATCAACTCCTTACATCGCGACTCTAGAGCAAACGCACTAACCACTGCGCCTCGCGGGCGGTCAGGATTTGAACAAAAATAAATCTACACTACCTAAAGATGCTTCTATAATCATGACTTTGCTATCCTTGAGAAGAAAATTTGTAAAGATTTTCCCATATATTCCTATGTACACTGTAATTCTTTTATTAAGCATTGTGGCCGCACCGAAGCCCAGGGGGTCATTAATTGACCAAACTTGTATCTACACTACCTGCGGTTACTTCTATATAAATATAACTAATCATGGCTTTCCTGTTCTTGAGAAGAAGATTTTAAAAGCTTCTATATTACCACACAGTAAAACTTTGTAGCCCTACCCTACCCCTGGGGGTCATGATTTGAACAAACTTGAATATACACACTACCTGTGGATGCTTCCAAAAATATGACATAAATGGCTATGTAGTTTGTTGTTCCTGATGAGAAGATTTTTTAAGATATTTCCTATTTATTCCTAGGTAAATGATATAATCGCTCATTGTGGCCCCATGCAACCTACTCCCATGGGTCATGATTTGAATAAACTTGAATTTTTACTTTGCATTGAAGATTTCATACATGTATAAGTTTCATCTTTTCTGGCCCAGTGGTTATTGAGAAGAAAATTTTTAAACATGCCATTGAATTTTCACTGATTCTGAATTTTCTCCCGTTGAAAGAGGGCGTGGTCCCTCTTTTAAAGAAACATCAATTCCCTTTACCAAAGGATGCTTTGTGGTAAATTTGGTTGAAAGTAACCCAGCCTTTCTTGAGAAGCCGTCGAAAATGTGAAAAGCTTACAGAAGAAAGACGAAAGACGGACGCCAGATACTCTTTTAAATTTGAGCCTAGGGCTTAAAGACAAACAAACAAAAAAGCAAACCAACGAACACAAATCACAACGTGGGAGTGATAAACATACAGCGGAAATGGGACAAATGTGTGTTTATCACACACATCTATGGAGAAAAAAAAATAATTCCTATCGTGCATTTCATTCCTCACTTCAGATAAACTTGCTATTTTTCTACTAATAAAAATAATTTATACTCAGAAACAAGCCACAACATTTCATATGTACACAAGTAATTGAGTCAACTTTAAAAACCAAATGACTCACGGACAGGTTTTGTCACATCTTGTCCTGATTTGTAGCCACTTGTTAATTTGTCAGCAACTAAGTTGTTATCACACATTGCGAGCCTATAAAAAGTGTATGTATATGATTCTATGTTTATAATCTTTTCATTCTACTTTCTTCTTTTTTACACTTCTTTGTCACTTCATGATCATTTCATTTTTAACAAATTTTTATAAGATTTAAAGAAACTAAGAATAGAAAAAAATGTTAAGAAACCCTTTGTGTGTTAAGCGTGCCATAATACTTTTAGTTGCCCATGTGATTGACATCTTTAGTTTCAAGTATTTAAGTCACTTAATAAAAGGATGTTCCTCATCTTACATCTCTTTCAAAATAATTTGTACAAAAAAATTAACAATTACATGTGCCTGTCTTAAAAGCACGACTGAAGCATTTATTTAAACAATTATAAGCATGCAGGATAAACATATTCTTTGGGGGGAAAAGGCAAATATATTTTTTTTTATCAATGATCCACTTAATTAATTGATTTCGCGCAAAATACAATTCATTATACATGTATGCACATTTCCTTTTTCTGATTATAATTAATGTTCGAATAATAATAATAAAAAAAAAAATCAAAATATACTCATATTCATAGCTATTATTTTCATGAAAATATGAAATTTCAGGACAATGATGAATGATAAAAAATATAATACTCTAAGTTTTTAACAAAAATTTAAAAAAATTAATAATGCAAGTAAATTTACAGGCAGTAAAGAGAAGTGGATTGATGTTCTTTCTTTCTTCCTTTTTTTTTTTTTTGACCAGTTTGTAATGTCAAAAAATAAAATAAAATCAAAGCCCGTTAAAAGTCTAGAAATTATATTATATTAACAGATATGTTAATAAGAAAGCGAACGTGATAGTTTTTTAACTAATCTACGTACATGTATATTTAAAGACTTAAACATAGAGTAACCGACGGAATTACATTACCTTAGATATGTAACTGTTATTGTAATCAAAGTTTAAAATTGATCAGTCTCAACTTATCTCAATGTAAAAATCTCAAAATGAAAATATAGTTATAAGTAAAGTAAATCGATACATTTGAAGATATTATAAACCTGCTTACCCCTCTTTATATTCACAGTTAGTACACGTGTCTTCTTTCAGGTCCGCCACTTCTACCAGTGGGACGTTGTCTTGCCCTGAAATTTAACAGAAACAGAAGTTGTGTCTTCTTTAAATAAAAATTGGGTTTTTTTTGAATAGCACACTTTTGGTGAAATGTGGTCTTTTTTAAAAAAAAGTCCACATGATCATACATGTTGTATGGTCTAATAAATCGACAGTTTTTTGGTTAGTTTTTGGTATTGTATAAAATTAACATACTGTAGACCTATATAGGGCTTACAATGGACATTTTATTCGAACATTTTAAACTTGGAATATATTCATATTATAAACACATTAAGTATCAAGAGTGAACTTATTAGTGACAGTAAATGAAATACAAGTTTATTAAACCAGGATGGACATTAATGGTGTACCAATAACAGTGACGTTATCATTGGAAAAGGGACTATAACTTCATAAACTATAATTATCTTAAACAAATTGGATTGTGAAGTTGCTTATAATACTTTGGTAAGACTCTGAAGTCCATTTATGAGCCCCAACAGACAAAAAAATCCCTTATTCAGCAAACTTTTTAAATAGTTCGTTTAGTAGATGATTCAGCCCTCAAAACGTGCATAACACAATTTGTCTGCTGGGTGTATGTTCCTGAGTTTAAAACATTGCTTCTTATTTTGAAAACTTGAAGTGTTGGGAAGCTCATTTTGACCATTTTATGACCTTACAAGCACCTTCACATTCCATATGACGAATTCGCTTAATATTTCTTTATAAACTCAGTCTTCAGGTTATCAATTATGTAAAGAGATTATTCTCTTACATATTATGGACTGAAGGGTAAAAATAACGATCATGATAATTTTCGGCAAGTAATCGCTGGAGGCCACATCCTCAGGCTTCATGTTAGTAAGTACATTTATTCACTTTACGTTTGTCACGTTGAGGCCATCTTTAAAAAATTGTTTGCTTGCCCTCTCCCGACTCAGGATAAAACATTTGGGTAGGTAGGTAGGGGAACATTTTTTTATTCAAAAACACTGGCGAATGTGAAGTTAAATTAATAATTAATAGGCAAGAAAACTTCGGAATGAATTTTAATAATGATTGTTTCCTGGAGGTTAAAAAAGTTTTGAGTTGGGCCGTTTTTAGTCAGTCGGTCGGGAGAGGGCAACCAAACATTTTTTTTTTAAAGATGGCCTGAGCTTACTAATTATCTGTTTAAACATTGAATCATTTAGCTGATAATTTAGCAATAACGTACCAAAATCCTCATAAACAACATTTCCCCGAAGTTCTATCCAGTTTGTATTGCTGTAAAATTCCTGGATTGTGTACAGTGCTCTTGCGACTATTTCTCTAATTTCCGAGATGTCAGGTGTGGCTGTTTTAGAAATGTTCTTTATTGACTCTCGTAACATTCTGATGTATATATGAGCTATATGGAATAGAAATATGGAATGCATATGAATCTTTTGCTTGACATAATTAATATTATAATTTTTTCTAATTTCTCCCCCGTAAGAAAATGTTCAAAAATATGTTGAATATATTCAGAAAAGGTTTTTAAATCAACATTTTCTAAATGTTGGTTAACAAATGCATCTCCGTTGTTTCATTCATAAAGTTGGGTAAGAAGTATTTTTCTACACACTGCCGACTTTTATTTACCACCATTCATGCTAATAAACATTAGTATCTAAGGCTAGATTAAATGAAATTCAATTTCTCTAAAAAGGTATTTATTTTGGTACTTTTAGGGAGTATAAATGTCAACTCTTTACAAGATCGTTTCTAAGATTTTCAAAGAACCTTGATCCATATTGAGTTGCATGAAATAAAAACTGTTGCATGAAAAGATTTCAATTTCAAGCCTTACTTGAAACGGTTAATTAAATGATAATTCTAAGAGTTATCAATCCTGGCTGAGGATCAGATATCCTTAAAATGTGCTTATTCTATATCCGGAAAGTTCTTGCTTTGTATGTTAGTTTGTTATTGTCATGAATTAGTAATTATCATAGTGGCCTTCTTGTTATTTGACACATAGGTCCGTTCTTCTGAAATAAATGCATATTCGAAACTCAAGAGTATGCTCCGAGTACGATCAATTTTTAAACCGATGCAGGCTACTGATAGATAAGTTAATGTCACAGGGATTCCAACAACTTCATTTAATGCCAGCATTTAGTAAATTCTATGGTCGTTATAATGATCTTGTAAGCAAATATAACCTTTCAATGGGTCGTATTTTGGCTGACCTGTTTCATACCAATTGTTAAGCGTTTGGTTTTATATTGAATTTGACTACGGAATGTTCCGCGTATATGATCAATACATAGGGCTCACGGCGTGTGTGACGGGTCAACAAGGAGTGATTACTCCTCCTAGGCACCTCATCCCACCTCTGAAATATCCAGGGGTCCGTGTTTTATGCCTTCTTAACAGATTTGTATTGTTTAAGGTTTTTTGAGATCGGTCACTGTTATCTTCACCTTTTTCATTATAAAGGCTGAACATATGCCAATACATTGTGTATCGGTCGTTGGTGATTACTTAATAAAACCTTAATTTAAAGATATTTAGGTTAGAATTATAGAAGGCTCTACTTAGGACCATTCCTTGAAAATATATCTCACTTATTTTATGTAAATACGATTACATATTTTTGAATAGATTAACCATAATTATAACTATTTCATTACATTCCAAAAAGCATAATTATTCCCCCTCAAACGAACTTTGGGGGTATATAGGAATCACCTTGTCCGTCCGTCCGTCCGTCTGTCTAGGTGTCTGTCCGTCTGTGCAAACGTGTTCGGTCCATATCTTTCTTACGGAGGAACATTAGAATCTACTACTTCACACAAAGAATGATCATGACCTGATGGGTGTGTCATGACCTTGACCCAAGGTCATATGGGCAGTTCAAGGTCAATGACAGAGAAAGTTCATAATTCGTGTCCAGTCCATGTCTTTCTTATGGATAAACCTGGTGAGTTCCCATTTTACACAAAAATTGCTTATGACCTGAGGGTGTGTCATGACCTTGACCCAAGGTCATATGGGCAGTTCAATGTCACTGACAGAAAAAGTTTATAATTCGTGTCCAGTCCATATCTTTCTTATGGATAAACCTGGTGAGTTCCCATTTTACACAAAGATTGCTTATGACCTGAGGGTGTGTCATGACCTTGACCCAAGGTCATTTGGGTAAGTTCAAGGTCACTGACAGAAAAAGTTCATAATTCATGTCCGGTCTGTATCTTTCTTATGGAGAATAATGTTGGGAGTTTCCACTTCACACAAAGATTGCATATCACCTGATGGTGTGTCATGATCTTGACCTATACTTACTGTAGAAAAAATGGATAAATAATGCATCATACTTTCCAACAGAGAAATGCTTGAAAAATTGTTATTTATTTTTTCTATGTAATAAAAAAATGTTATTGCTTAATACAAAAAAGTATTGATGTTTTATTAGGCTGCGCCTTAGTTTCATTCATTAAAAAAATTAATGAGCAATTATATTACCGGTAAATTTTTAATATAAAAGTTTAAACAAATTGTGAACACCTCTCCATCAAATACTAGTATTAGTGACTTGGCACCTTCTCTGAAAACCCTGCGGGGGTTAATTGTCCCTATTGGACAGTTCGGGGGGGGGGGGTCAAAAGAAATCGAGAGGCATCCCAAAAAGTATGATTCTAGTTTGAAAAAGATAAAGTATTGAACAATGAACATATTTTACAAATTCTTCTAGATTTATTACAAAAAGAATTTTTACTTCCAAAGCCATCTCTTACAGTTTTGTCTGAAATCTGAATGCAACATTCCGAAATTTCTGAAATATCATAAACATTTGTGCTGTATCTCATACATCGAAGCGCCAATACCTTTGATCATTCAAATAAATGGAAACATACATTTGTATATATAAGGCTTGAAGCGCATTCAACATACCTGTCTCAATCTGTTCACCATTTACATGATAAAATGAAACGTTGACAAAGTCTCTCTGAATTTGATCTTCATATCTACAAATTGTTTTGATGCTCGTCCAGTACCTCTTGTAGGATTCATTATCTGAAATGAAAATTGGTTAATTTTTTTTGCCCCCCCCCCCCTTCCCAATTTTTCATACTTAACTGGTTTCAAAATTGATCTTGAAATTGCTCGATGTGTTTCATATTGACACACATTAATAATCCTAATGTTCGTTTTTTTCTTTCAGAATCAAAGGTAGCATAAAAAATACTGACTAAGAAATGACATTTCCAAATACGCGCCATCAGGTAAAAATAAAGAGTTAAAATTCCAATATCAAATATATTTTCTAAAAGAGAGGGTTTGATTAAATACTTTCCATTCTCTAAGCAATTACAACTTATGAATATCTGTGTCCATAAATACACAGTCTAGCAATATGGCAAAACGTTCTCAAATTTTACATACTGGTAGGTTTTAGACACCGATACTTGTTTTGAGCTTAGTCTTGCAAAGTATGCCCTTGAAAATTTCTTTGCACTCTTTAAGAAAGAGTTAACTGTGCGGATTGAAAAAGAGCATACTTCACAAGATAAAGATCAAAGTAATCTTTTCTTCTTACATTAAATATCTATGTCTGGGCCTAGATGAAATTTGAGAAGTTAGTAGTGAGAAATCAACATGCAGAAATTGAGCTCTAAATTTAAACATTAGATATTTGAGATAAGGATGGAAATAAAAATCGTTCAAGGTAAATCAATACATGCATTTCCCAGAAAAGTCCCCATGGGGATATACATATGTATATTTCCCTGTTTCGCCCAAAGTCCGCCCACTGTGATGATACGATATTGGTGTTTGATAAATTCTTATAATATCTAAAACAGACATGAATAAGTATACTCACCTGTTCCAAAATAATCCTTCACTTGGTGTTCCACATTATCAAATTTCTTTTTTCGTACACCGACACGCTCCAAAAACTCTAACGTAGCTCGCAAGATACCTTGAGAAGTTATCCTTGTATGAGTAAATGTTTCCCTTTCGTTGAAAATGACATTAGAAGGGAAAGCTGCAACAACTTCACAACAACAGCACAAGATAATAAACCATCGACCATCCATATTTACTATTTGCAGAAGTATTCAAGGACACGGTAAAAATTGCGCAACAAAAATTATGTGTTACGTTTGCACAGTGATTCATTCGTTAATATTGAATTTTTTTATGTCTAGTGATAACATTTAAAGATAGTCATGTGATGGAAGAAAATAATGAGGCTCTGTAATCACATCTCCTTTGGTACTTGTTCACTTATAATATCACTTGTTTGAGATAACATGTGAATGAAATAACATATAAAAACACAGAGAATTTAAAATATTTTTGCAGTATGTTGAATGTCCCTAGCATTTGCATCTGTTTTAGTAAATCAAATACCTGGCCACTATTGCTGCATAAATAAACTAATAAACAAAATACCATCATTTGATAGTAAACAAAGTATTTGACTTGGATTTGTAAACGTATTTGAAACACGCAGAGAGAGAGAGGAGGGGGGGGGGGGTTGAGTGTGTGTGTGTGTGTGTGTGTGTGTTATTTCGTTAATTCTAATATAGGAGTAATATTTTGAACGCTTTTTATATTTTAACTTTATTTATAATTTAATCCCTAGATCAAAAAGAACGCATTGTAACATCCTCATAGCATATATTTAAAGCATTAAACATGCTGACTTACATCTGCCACGGCGTTCGTTTATTCTGTTAGGTACCGTTTCTGGTTTCAATTTTTATAAACGTCACACAATGAATTTTCTCGTGTTCTTTATCAATATTCAAAGCGTGAAAAATGGGGGGGGGGGGGATACAACAACCATTGTATAAATTTATTCATGGTAAGTCAATAAAATGATAAATTGATTCAAACTCACAAGAGGATGAAAGTGGATAAAATCTAATATCAACTGGTAATTTTTACAATATTTTTTATGTATTTGACACTAAAGTTTTCTTACAAAAGTGAAAAGCTTATATGAAGTTACTATATATATTTCAGGATGCCATATTCTTCCTGTTCTAATTTTAGTTCAAAGCATTTTTAAAAAGATTTAAGTGTTAGAAGTGTTTATCAAAAAGCCCACAGCAAAAGAATAAATATTATGCAGCTACAAAATATAGAGGGTACATATTCATATTCGCCACACTAAATGCGGACGTCAGCTGATGAAACATCAGTCTGTTACATATATATATAAAGAAAGCGCTTGTGTTGAATGAAATTTGAAAACTGTGCATTTTCTTTTTCTTTTATGATCATTTTTACTGTGACATCATATATATATATATATATATATATATATATATATATATATATATATATATATATATATATATATATATATATATATATATATATATATATATATATATATATATATATACGATACGTATGTCCTTCGGACTGTACATTAGAACAAAGGTAATAGGCAATTAACTTTTGAACATTTTCAGCTTCTCTGGATTTGCTGATCAAATTTCAACCAATCTTAGTATATAAATCTATAGGCAAAGGCGAATAGATATTGTGAATCTCAAGGTCACTGCCCCCCCCCCCCCCTCGAAACCTCAGGGGTGGAGCTTAAACCATCAAAATTAACGCAATCTTTAAAAATCTTCCTCTTTACTTCTGGACCTTAAACTATTAAACTGTTGGTATGATGGATTGGGCATTGGGCCCTCTACCAAAATTGTGAAATTCATAGCACGAGGATCAGGGGTTCTTGTGTTAGGGCGGGGCTCAATTGATCATATAGTGAAAATGCACTAAATATTGGAAAATCTCTGCTCCAGAATATTTAACAGAAAAATTAAGTGCATGATTACGATGAGCAAGGGTGCCTCTTCATGCACTTTTGTGAAATTCAGGGGATCTGGCAGGGATTCATTTATCATCTTGTGAAAATATACTTATCTTTGAACACTGCATCAAGCATCTTTAAAACTTGGATAATTTTAATTAGCTAAAGTGCATTTACTAGATTTGTGAAATTCATGACCACTAGGTTTAAGATTTCTGGTAATGAGCAGGGCTCTATAAATCAACCTAAGGAAATTTTACTCTGAGAGAAATTATTCCTCCCATATTATTAGTCCCCTACCGGTGAAACCGGAGGGGACTATAGGTTTCCTCTGAGTCTGTCCGTCCGTCTGTCCGTCCGTCTGTCTGTCTGTCTGTCCGTCTGTCTGTCCCTCTGTCTGTCTGTCAGTCTGTCCCACTTGGTTTTCCGCACTTTTCTCCTAAACGCTTGCAGATATTGAGCTGATTTTTGGTATGTGAGTGTATCTTGATGAGTTACAGATCAAGTTTGCATTTCGTTCCGCTTCATTGATTTTTGACGGAATTACGGCCTTTTCAATTTTTAAGGGTTTTCCGCAATTTTCTTCTAAACGCTTTCAGATATTGAGCTGATTTTTGGTATGTGGCTTTACCTTGATTAGTTATAGATCAAGTTTGCATTTCGTCCCGCTTCATTAATTTTTGACGGAATTATGGCATTTTCAATTCTTAACAGGAACCAGATTACACTTGCCGGTAGGGGACTAGTATTGCTAATGCAATACTCTCAGAATGCTTGTTTATGTAAGATAATCCCTGTATACAATGTACATGTAATGATATTATACAGTTATGGAATGGGTATGAGGGAAATAGCAAATTTTTGGTTCCCCAAGGGAGGAAGCTATTTCCCGAGGCGGAAACATAAATTTGATATTTCCCGAGTACCCATTCCATAACTGTTTTATTATACCGAAACAATCATGGGAGATTTATGAAACTGGAGAGGCAGACATTTTTTAAAACAATATAGAGGCATTTAAATAATCACAAATGCATGTGATTAAAAATATTGTAAGATAACTAATGCATCAATACGGAGGAAAATAAAATTATTAAAGAATATAAGATAATTTCACTGACACTTCGAAGGATTATTGTTGTCTTCATTTTTGCAATTTTGACATCGCATGTCGAAATGCTTTGACGTCATAGTTACATTGCTAATAACATTACGTCACAGTATCGAGATTCCTTGAACGCTCCGCCCACTGTTCATTTTTATTGGTTAAAATTATTAATAAATATTCATGAGGGAGTAGTCCCAGGGAGTAGCTCCGACTTTTCAGGGAGTATTCCTCAGATGAGGGTAAAAGTATCTTCTCAGGGAAATAGACAGTTTTATGGTATTGATTTTATATAGAGTAATAACAGTAGAGGTATAATAAATGGATATAACGATCAGTATTCAAGCTCAAAGTCCATTTAGACAATACAAATCGGGAGCAGAGCAAACAAAGACTTCCAAAAATATCAGAGGTAGGATCAGGTGCCATGGAAAAGTGAGCATCCCCTGCCGACCGGTCGCACCCGCCGTGTGCTCCTTGTCATGGTCGAGAGAAACGGAAAAATCCATAGACAATTCAGTGTGTAAATAATGACCTAACAATAACTATGAAAACGTCAGTCAAAATTTACTTAATAATGGGTTGTATTTACTGACAAGGTCATTGCATCGTCCATAAAACTTGCGAAATGATGACTTCGAACGAGACTATTGATCTCCTTGTTTCATCAACTGGTTTGTCAGTAGATTGCCTCGTTTTAGAAATTGTTCATACGTAGAGCATTCTCTTGCGTATCGAGTCAACTGGGAAACAAAATCCCCATATGCAGGGGATAAGGGTATATTGCTAAACGATTGAAAAATTGAAGTCATCACGTTTATTATAAAGTTTTGTTGTTGGGATACCATTAAAATCTTTTTCTTGTAAAATATCCAAATATGAAATAGATGTGTCAGACTCTGTGGTATCTTTTATTTCAAGCTCACTGGGATATATCGAGTCGACATATGAATGGAAGTATAACTATTGTTAATTGATAATACGTCGTCGATATATCTAATTGTCGAGTTGAAGGCCACAGCAAGATTAGTGTTTTCTTCTTCTCATGTACCGTTCACTGTAGCTCAGTCGGTAGAATGCTCGCTCCGTGATCGGGAGGTCGTGAGTTCGAATCTCGGCCGCGACTGACCTAAGTCGATAAAAAAAAATGGGTAGCAATTGTTCCTTCACCATGCGCTCGGCACTTTGAAGTGAAAGTTGCGGATCCTTCGGTCGAGACCTTAAAAACCGAGGCCCCATGTCACGGCAGACGTTGGCACGATAAAGATCCCTCACTGCTCAATTGCCCTGAGTGCCGAGCAAAGGTAAAAATTTGAAGCCCTTCACCAGTATATGGTGACGTCTCTATATGAGTGAAAAATTCTCGAATGGGACGTAAAACAACATACAATCAATCAATCAATCTTCTCATGTAAAAGTTTTTGAATAAATTCTGCTTCATATGAATACAAAAACAGGTCTGCCAACAAGGGGGCGCAATTGGTACCCATTGGAATTCCAGCAGATTGTTGAAAGACATGATTTCCAAAAAAATACATAGAAAATGTCAAATAGAAACTTAAGCATCTTTTTAACAGTGTTCAATGTCAACTTCAGAGTAATTGTATGTACAATCAGAATGTTTTTGAACAAAATAATTTTGCAAATGATCAATGACAAGGTGTGTATATTTACGAGTTCCATTTTTTTTTATAAAGCATCTGTCTATGATGTCAAAAAACCTGGACTATAATTTATCGTGGGAAATGGTTGTATAAAGTATTGAAAAGTCGTACGTTTTAAAGTTATTGGTTTTGTTAAAATTTTGTGATTTCAAATTTTCTTAAAGTTGGAGCTTTTAAGTATCCACATTTGATTTACACCACTTCTCGAATATACTGTTGTACAGTACTCTTGAAGTTTCTCCTTCACTTCTGTAAAAATTTAAGTGAGGAGTAAATAGGTCAAATAAATAGGTCATTTACATGAGGAAAATTGTATAAAATGATTTTGATTTATCATAAAAAAAAGTACTTGTATAGTTTTTAATATTCAGATAGATAATAAGTAAATAGTCAGTAATAATAAGACAAAAATATCTTCTTTTTTGTACTATACATTTTTAAGACCAAGAAAGACCACTTGAATGAAAGATGGTAGCTATGTACAGTGTTATGTAAAAGCACTGTGCCATTGTTACATTGATGCTGACAAATTACAGTGTAGGCAGCAGTCTGGCTAATACAGGCAAATTGAAGATGTACCTTCAGAGTTGCTGCATTTTGTTTATCCTTGATTGCCCTTTTTTCCTGTTTTTGAGCACCATATCTTGCTCTAACAGTTTATTTTGCTTTATCTTATAATTATCAAATTGCCATCCAACAGACTTGATGCGTTTGTGGATTTCTCTAAATGAAAAGTAGTTGTGCTATCATTTGACTTTTCGGCACAGCTTGCAACTTTTAATACATGCTTCGGAGACCTAATATATATTGTCAATCAAAACTGTATCCAAGTTCCCGGCGTCCTTTTCAAATACTAAAGTAACATCGTTGAGGAATTAAATATTTTATGAAATATTTTTTTTAAAAATACAGATATAACAATTTGGGTTTCCATATGAATTTTCTTGAAAAAAGGTGATTCATTCTAAAGACCGTCCAAGAGACTTCCGACTTACATGTATCCAAGTTAAATTAGGTAATGTTTGGGAATAGACTTAGTCCAAAATTTGTCACACAGAGGAAGATAATCTCGTTTCATTTTTAAAGACTGGTTCAAGACTTTAAAGCTGAATATGAACACTCTTAACCTTTTTATTTAGACAACAAAACACAAATACTAATATTAAGTAATATGCAGAAGGAAATTCTTTAATTCAGAATGTTCAAATACTCTGAGCAATACAAAGATAAAGATCTCAATTCAGTTGATTGAGGCCCAATTTCATGATAATCGAAAGGACATAAGAGTATAAATAAAAAACAATGTATGAAACTATCTGAATTTACCGATTTAACAATTTAAAAATAAATAGGTATTATTTAAAGTCTTTAAGTCACTGGGTTCCAAGATATGATTCTTTACAGAAGTTGGAATACATAAAAAATCAAAAGTGAATCCAATGATTTTGATTGCATTGATCTATACAATTATGTTCTATTAAATTCAAACACACCTCTTCTTTCATAACATTTATGCGTTTAATTAAACTAGTCAAACACTTTATTAAGATAAAAATGTTTTGTTTATTAATCAAAATGCTTTCTAATTTTATTTGGTAACGTGATAAAGTGTAAGAATAAGCAAAAAAAATCAATTACTTAAATTGATAAGCTAATATTAAAACTCACATTAAAATTATCATGCTTATTTGATGCTTACAGTTTAAGCATCAAGTGGAATGTTACAATGTAAACCTTATTATCTGTTTTTCTCTGTTTAAACTGATCCAGTTTAATAAAAAGAAATGTCATCTAGATACAAGAGAAAGCCTTATTTTCCATGAGTATTTATGCGAGCTTGTTTTAGATATTGTAACATTTAATAATTGATAAGGCTTTATCTAATCCTTAACGACCTGATAGCATTATTTTGTCTTCAGCCCTGGATCTTTTCTTTGTTTTGTAGATAAGGACGACGAGAAGAGTGATGAGGATGATTCCTGCGATGCTTGATCCGACGACGATACCAATCAGCATCCAGTTTACTACTGTCTGTGCCTGCAAGTGTAAAATTTTTGTGAAAATAAACAACACGTCTTTTCTTTTACAGGCTTATGTAAATATGTAGGATTTAGTGTGCATGTGTGTTAGTCTGCATGAATAAGATGACATAGGAGACTGGCTACTCAGTTATAATAAGTAAACTAAGATTAAAGTTTTCTTTTTTTCCTGCTTCCTTTTGAAACAGATAATTTATAAAAATCAGAATTTTTATTCTTTTTCACTATTAAATTGTTCAATATGTATTGGATTCAATAGCCAAACCTTTGCATCTTCTGATGTAACAGCTGTTGTCTGAGCTTCTGTTGTTGTTGTATCTTGAACAATAAAAAGAGGTTGTTCAGAGAGGATGAAGTTACACCGATCGAACTTGCCATCGTTGTCCGTAATGGTAAGTACAACTGCTTGGATACAACAAATGCCGCTGAAAAATTGTTAAAGCTTTTAAGAAGGCATTTGAATATAGAAAACATCCTTTTTCTTTGCAATAAGATTGAATCTTTATTTGAAATTTTTTTATGAAAGTAGATACTTGTAACAAAGTTCAAAGAAAATAAATCATGCTCAATTGAACTGATATGAGAGATTTTATCTCTGTACTTTTTTTGGAATCGCTGCTCTCTCTCTCTCTCTCTCTCTCTCTCTCTCTCTCATACACATAGACATACAAAGATCACAGGTACTTTTTTCTGGCAAATGTATGTTTTTCTTTTCAAATGTGATTTTTTTTACCTTATTGTTATTGGAACGGAGAAGTTTGCTTCTGATACGTTCATGTGTTCCAACCTGACTTCATCAGTAGAGGCACTGATGTCTGATAGCCATATAGTTGCTGAGGAGACTTGAACCAGTCCTGTCCAGTTGTAGGAGGAACAGTTCCCAGTATTAAGTGACTGTACAGGGCATCTATCTGGGTATTTTAACACTGTACAGTCTGCTGTTCTTGTGTCTGCGACCTTCGTCAAACAAAAAGAGAATTCTTTCACTTTCGAGAAATAGGTAGCCAGAACAAGTGGCGTATGAAGATAACCAACAGTAGTCAAGCTCAAAAGTCCACTTAAACAATACCAGTTGGGGGCAGAGCAAACACAGAAATCTTAAAACATCAAAGGTGGCAAGATGAATGACATTTTGAAATTTGAAACAAAAAGCAAACAATATTTTTTTAGTTTTCTTATCTTGAAGCATTACCAAATATATTCATAAAGTCTGTGCTCCAGAAGATGTTTTGTGTAGGATTTTAATTAGATAGGTTGTTTGACATTTCATCTGAATCCCTAATGTAGCACAAAGCTGAACGTGTGTCAACGATATGAATTTAAATGGGTACTAGTTATTCATTCAGCCTGAATTTCAACATGGGAAGAAGTAAATGTACATGTATACCAGTTGGGGGCAGAGCAAACACAGAAATCTTAAAACATCAAAGGTGGCAAGATGAATGACATTTTGAAATTTGAAACAAAAAGCAAACAATTTTTTTTTAGTTTTCTTATCTTGGAGCATTACCAAATATATTCATAAAGTCTGTGCTCCAGAAGATGTCTTGTGTAGGATTTTAATTAGATAGGTTGTTTGACATTTCATCTAAATCCCTAATGTAGCACAAAGCTGAACGTGTGTCAACGATATGAATTTAAATGGGTTCTAGTTATTCATTCAGCCTGAATTCCAACATGGGAAGAAGTAAATGTACATGAATATATAACCCTATAGATTCTACAATCATAATCCCTGAAAGCAACCACTCTGGGGTTTTTTTCTTAGTTATTTGTATGATCACATTAAGTTTTTAAAGCATTGATTTCAGTAGTTATTTAAAGCACTTGTACAATAAAGCATTCATGTTTAAGATGGAGAAAGTCTTGTGACGTTGATTCTACCTGTTAATGCTGAACGGGTTGTTTGACTCACATTTATTGGAATCGCATCAATTTAAATCAGTACAGCATTCATCATTTACATGTAGTATTTTAATTAATTATCTTTGGTTTGACTTGTAAATTTAAGGCATTCGCTTAACATTAACGAATAATTGCCATTTCCTTAGATCTATAAACTCCTCAATATTCTGCTTGTTTATAATTCGTGTTTCAGCAATGTTTCTATTAAATACATTGTTACATGATTTTAGTCATATGCTAAAACAATTGAAAAGAGAAGTATTAAATGCATTCTTATTCATTTCCCTACATAGTGTTTTCAAGCTCATTACTCCCTGCAATCACAGCTATACTCACAGAATATCGTCTCGTCTCTGATTGGATAATCCCAGTGTAGTTTTCCAGAGTAACGGTCCATTTTAATACACTAATTGTATCAAAGTAAAACACTTTTAACATATTACATTTTGTTTATAAAATTTAATATGAAACATGTAATGATTAAAACACAGATAATGCTTGACAAATATTCCAAAATACTAAATAAAAATTATATTTACTGACTAAATAGGTGTTTTGAATGCCTATAAAGGTGACTTATTTTATGATTTCTGCCTCTTATTGAAATATATATATATATATATATATATATATATATATATATATATATATATATATATATATATATATATATATATAGAAATTGAAAAATGTATGCAGGAGATAAATCGTTTTATACACAGATGTGCTAATTAAGAGACATTTTTATATAAGCATGTAGGTAAATTACTATGCAAAATATTTAAGTGTACGTACACGGGTTGCAAGGAGTCTGGTGTTAGCATGGCAACAGCATTGTATACCTCCCCAGAACTGAGATTCCCTGGTTGCACCGTAATATTGGTTTTACCATTAGATACAGTAATCATGAAATTCACAGTAGAATCCCCGGTGTTTGTAAGGGAAAAGGAGATATTTGTGCTTTCATTTAAACGTAACTGTCCTGAAAAGTAGCATAAGGATGTTTAACATTATTCTTTAAAGTATGCTTTTAATTACTCAGTACTGTATTAAAGCATTGAATGAAGATACTTTTTTTTAATTTTTTACACAATCTTTAAGCTTTTTGCTTATAAAAATGTTCACTGAATAGTCGGTTACATTATTTAAAGGTACAACAACTACAAATTTTTGAATACAGGGAAATATAAAATTTTCTTCTATGTTACATTTTTATTTTTTAATCAGTCCTCTTGAATAAATATGTTATTGCTTTTCGGTTTTCCTTACCGAGAACTGGATAAATACGCAGTTGGACGGAGGCTGGTAGAATAGTAAACATGCTTGTCCTAAGGAATTTATTACCAAGTGCATCAATTCCTCTGATTTGTGCGTAACTTGACTAAAAAATAAAATGTCTATTTTAATTAACTGCAACTTCTCTGTCATGGGTTTTCAGAGTAAATTTTCTTCATTTAGATTCTTTTAAAGACTAGGAAATTAAATCAAGCGAGGGAAAATCCTTCCTCGCCGACTGAAATAAATTTTATTTTCAGGTCTTTTTAAGCTAATGTATCTTGTACCTTATTTATAGGAACAAAATCTCCTACACAGCGAGCTATACCCTCAATGGTTAATCTTGTAACTGGAATTTCGGCCACTTCAGTCCCATTTCTATCCAGAAGACCAACGCTTGTACAGGAGGAATTCGAGTCCAGATTCTGGATATCAACCACCAACGTATAATTGTATCCTGTATAACAATTGATATATGTAAATCTCTTTAAAGGATTTGAAAAGCTTCTGTAACATTTCACATCACATGATTACATTAAATGTGATTACAAACCTTTGATAGGATTCCCAGACAATTGGTATAAATTGCCACCAGTGCTGGGTTCTAGAATGCTGGCTGAGAAATCCATTGGACTTTGAGCTGTGATGTTTACTATCCATGCATTTGATGTATTCTTCTTGAATTTCCAAATGCCAGGCCCTGGTTCCTTTGATAAGGTAACAAATGCAACAATTTCAACACAATTTTGAATAATATTGCAGGCCCGTAGGAAGCAATTTCACTTTGAGGGGTCACAACCGTATATTTTCAGTTGAGGGGACACTATCAACTACCAAAATTCCCTAACAAGCAAGAAAAAAAAAGGTCATCAGACGTTTTTATTGAGGGGGCACAAGCATATAGCAGCTATGTTTTCTATAGTATTCTATATATCGACAAAATTATTGGGGGGGGGGCACGGCCCCCCGTGTCCCCCCCCCCCGGTTCTTACGGCCATGTATTGGTGCTTATTTCTAATACAATGTTCATTTATTTTTAATTTCTAATAGGAATACAAATTATTGATTCAATAATTTGCTCCAGACAGAGTCTACATGCATATAGGGTTGAAATTCGGTAGTGCAGAAATTTACCTTGATTGATATTGTCAAAGTGTTGTCTAAAATGTTGTACAGCTCATTTTCGGATAAAAACATGACATTCGTACCTGAAATATTTCGCGGAAAACTTTTGGAAGGTTAGTAGTATTCATAAATTATAAAATACATAAAACTGTTTTACTAACTTTGATATTATAAGTTTATTTTTTTAAATGTGGAGAACATACCGTTGGGATAAGAAAAAGTAAATTCGGACTGGCTTGCAACTTTCCTAACAACTATCTTTAGTGTTTCCATGTGATTGTCCACCGGAATAGACATGACTTCATTGGATGAGGAACCGTCAGGTATCAAGAACCAGGTGATAAAGACATTGGAAGATGGAAAAGTATCCTGCAAAAAAAAAAAGAGCCAGAAGCCATTCTATACAAACATTTCAGAATGGAGATATCTTGAGGTGGTAAAAATTAATTGCACAAATGTAGTCGTAGGAAAAATTGTCATTTTTTTTTTTTCATTTTACAGTTAGAAAAATCAGAGAGGATATGGTTTTAGCAACCGCATGTATTTAGTTTAAACCATCAGTTTAAATGTACACGGCGTTGCCAAAATATGCTATTTATAATCCTTGATTAAAAGATACCTGAGACGTGAGCTATTTTGGCCATATAATTTAAAATAGAAGTCGCAATAGCAACGGAGTTTTCAAAGAAAGATCAAACTAATTCTTTTTATGATATCTTGAATATTTACCTTAATCTCTTTCTCCACTATTGTCTCCAGTTGTGCGACTTTTGTTTCGTATACCCTTCCTCCAGTTTCTTTTGCTATTGCCTCAAACACCTGCAAACTCGATCTTTTCACTCGATGGGTCAGCTTATTTTCTAACGGTGGCAGAATTTGAGATATCTGCGACTGTTCTAGAACCATAAAGGAAAGAAAATAATTATACGTTCTTTTAATAATCTCAGATTTCGCATTCTGTTGAAATCTGTGATTGTCACTTTATAAATTAAATCAACAAATCCCATGACACGTTAATAGTACACTTATTGTCAATATAAAGATCATGACACTGTATTTGTTCTTTGCTTTATACTCGCCATTTATGTCCCTTTTCCTCCTCGAAGAGCATTGTCCGGTTAGAAGGAACACTGGTGTGAGAGATTTTTCCCTCAACCCCTCAATCACTTGGTCCTGTAGATACTCGTCCTTTGCATCAGCGTCAGTACAAAGGTATATCTTCGAATTTTTGTTGGACATTTCAATTCCTAAAAAGAAAATCATTATTTGCATTTTACTGCTTTGGATGAGCTGTTTACAATGGTAGATTCCGAAGGTTTTTTAAATTCATTATATGTAAGCGTAATTTATTGCTAAAATATTTATTAATTAATTAGTTTATTTATTTATTCATTTATTTGTTTATTTATTTATTTATTTATTTATTTATTTGTATTTCATTCCTACAATGCAGAGATACTAAATGCAATAAAAATACCTGTTGACTCCTTTTTGTTTTAAAATCTTTAATTAAATGTATAATAAAGATATAAATACATCTTTCTTCATTTGAATCTTTAAGCAATGTTCTTCGAATCTCAGTGACAGATGACAACTGCAACAGAGTTTTAAAATTTAGTTAACATGCGTCATCATCTTACCTTTCAACATCCCAGTCATAGCAAATTCAGGACAATCCCCGCCTCCTGTCACACTAAGACTCTGAAGCCAATTTACCATGATCTCTGGGTTATCTGTCTCTCTTCCGGTGGTCAACGATGCTTTAAATACAAGTATAGCTTTTTTTCAAAAAGCTTTAGTCTTTAAGCAACAACTTTAAACTGATATTCTATTAGACCTATAAGGCCTTATAATTTTAAGTACTGTAGTTCTTGTTTGTTTTTTTTTTTTACAGACATTAGCCCTACGATAAAAATGAAGGAAGAACACGCATTTCAATGTCTGCATGCAGAAAAAGAACATTCTGTTAATCATGTAAAATTAGAAATGTTAATCATTATAGTTCCTAAAAAAATGAAAGTGTCGGTTTCATTTACTGCAATTTTCTTTTGTCGTTTTTTTAGAATGAAAATCTTGAAAAAATTGTTAGGTCGTACGAAAATAAGATCACCAGAAAATTATATCCTTTGCCATGAACAGCATTTCAACCAATGAAATAAATGAAAATTTTCACATCATGCAGTTTCTACCAATCACAAAAAAGAGGAAGTGCATAGTACGAAGACTGTAAAATCTTCAACTCTGTATATCGTCTTCCAAGGAAGACGGTAATTAATTACAGTCATTATCGATAAATTGGAAACATGTATCTTTCATGTGTTTATATTGTTTCATTGCAGATTTATAACTACATGGAATTGCATAAAAAAGTATTATGAAGAAATTAGTCCACATTCATTTTACTACTCACAAGAATTTTCATTCCTTTATTTATGTTGAAATATATATCTACTGAAAATGTATGCAAATAAAAGTATTTTTAACTTGTAAGTCTGTATGAACCCAATCTAAAATTAGATGTTTTGAAACCGCTACCGCTTCATAAACGGTAGCGAATTCGTAACAGATTGGTACCAACCAGGATCAGAAAACGTAACGAGAATATAGTTTTCTGGTACAAACTGGGAGTCTTTTGCCTCATAGACAATTTTCTTAGTGGCCTTTACCACCGCTGCAATATCATCCCCCATGGAACCTGTGACGTCAATAACAAAGGTCAAGGACGTTTTAACTATTTCTTCTCTGGTCCGTATACCAAAGACATCTCGGAAGACCTCCTCACCAATGAGACTTAAAAGTCCTCGTCCTAAAATGATGTGTCAAAGTGAAACTAATTTTGAAATCAAATAAAAAAAAATCTTTAAAAAGTGCAGAAAAATTATTTTCGTTTTTGACCTATAAAGATGCAACGTTGTATTGTTCATTGACGAAATACTTAACACACCTTGTCCAATAAGGAAGTATTGTGTCGCATTAATGGCGGCTTCCGATGCGGCACCATGCAGGATGCTGCGGGGAGCTTCGCTTTGAACATATCTTCCTTTGTAAATACCACCGGTTGCGGTCATAAAGCGACTGTCATCGTCCGAAGTTCCATGACTGCATTTCCCGCTTATGCCCTGCCCTGAAGAAGTAATATAGAAATAACCTTCATTGTCGCATACTTAGTTTTGGTAAACATTGACTTGACACAAGAAATGTTGAAATATGTGTAAGGTTGAGAAAGAAAAAAATGTTTGGAATAATGAGATTTTAGGTGGTCTTTGCTTAAATTCTGTTGTACAACCTCACATCAGAATATTACATTTTATTTTGAAACAATGGGGAAAAATCCGAACAAAATGTAAATGTTTCAAGCCCTTCAAAATAGAAAGTAATCTATTTTGACGAATCTAACTGATTTTAAATAACATTTCTTAACATCTTTGTATGTAAGATGACAGTCTTTACTGGCATTATTAAATGACAATGGATTATCAGATTATCTGGATAACTTTTAATGAAGGCTCTGAGTGTTCGAGCATTCAATTTTTACACTCCAATTCAGAAGACTTTGACATTGTGAGCCTGTCCTATTGCCTTTGTTCAGGAAAGTTCCACATTTTGGTTAAACACTTATATCGGAATTGCACATTGTTTTTCACTAAATGAAGTTGACTGTGTGTCAAAATTCTTTTCTTCAAAATAGTTGAACCAAGATAACATGTTTTTTTTTCTATTAGTATAAAATCAATTGCTATCCATGCAAAATTGGACCAAAACAATTATATACCAAAGATTGATTTCTTTGTGTCAAAAGCTTTTAAAACAATCGAAAGATATTTAACTGTATAAGTAAGTTACTTGTTTGAGTGGTTTCGTAATACTATCAAACGTATTGAATTTTAAATTATTCTTAGAGGTTCTCCTTAAGAATATGACAACGTATTTTGTATTCTACAAGAAGGGAATACAGTTTCTTCAAAGTAAATAAATTTAATTGCAATACAAAAAAAACTTACGGACAGGTTTTGTCACATCTTGTCCTGATTTGTAGCCACTTGTCAATTTATCAACAACAACATTGTTGTCACATATAACAAGCCTGCCAGTAAACAGATATAAATAAAGTATAGTTTTATTTCTACATGTATTTCATATTTTATTGTTTGTATTGTTTTAAACCACTGTTTCTGCACAAATTCGTTTATATACCGTAAAGGCCTACGGTATATCATTTTGCATTTACCTCCCCTAGTAAAATTTACAACATAATAGTTACCTGGAATGGAATTTGTCCTGCATAGTGCAGGAATCGAATACTAAAACAAATGTTGGTCAAGTAATGTCAATGAAATATGAAGATAACGAACAGTCATCAAGCTCAGAAGTCATACAAATTTGGAGCATATCAAACACGGACCCCTAAAACCATCAGAGGTGGAATCAGGTGTCATGTAGGAGGAAGCACTTTGTCGATCAGTCTAACCTGCCGTGTGCTCCTTGTCGTGATGGAGCAAACGGAAAATACCGTAGACAATTCAGTGTGAAAATAATGGCCTAACAATTTGTATGAAAAACGTCAGTAAACATTCGATTTAACGACAGATTGTATTTGCTGACAAGGTCATTGTATCGACCATAGAATTTGCGAAATATTGACTTTAAACGAGACTGTTGATATCCTTGTTTCATCAATTTATTTGTCAATAGCTTGACTCGTTTTAGAAATTGTTCGTACGTAGAGCATGCTCTGACGTATCGAATCAACTTGGATACATAAACTTCATCTGCATGTGATAATTGTATATTGCTCTATAAATAAGGGACGTTGACGATAGAAAAGTTTAAATCATCACGTTTGACGTAAAGTTTTGTTGTTCGGTTACCATTAACTTCTTTTTCTAGTAAAAATCCAAATATGAAACAGATGTTTCAGACAGTATAGTATAGTATATATATTGTAGAAGATATTCTGTTTCATTTCAGGAATTTGTTTTCTGACCCTGCTATGAGGATGATAGATCATTTTGCTTCTAAGGCTGTAATAGCTGGTAAAACACAAACAGGGTCCTTTGAAAAACTTTATTGTTGTTTGGTTTAAATATTTTTTAGTCCCCTACCGGTGAAACCGGAGGGGACTATAGGTTTCCTCTGTTTCAATAACGCTCTAATAAATAACATTTTCATTCAATGCAGGCAAAAGTAGCGAAGACAATGTTTTAAAATAATTTCTCGATAGTAATTGAATGAAAGCAACTACCTCATCACAGGTTAAAGTTGTGAAATCGCAATTCACTAGCTCTTCCAATCTTTACAAAAAGTGATATTTAATTTTATTTCTCAGCATGATGCTTTTTCAAGAATGACTTATTGAAATAAAATCAGACTGTGAAAAAAATATTCAGTTCTTCCATGTACCAAATTTAGTATGCCCATTAATCAATGAAAATGGATTTGACACAAAAATAACTGTGAACTAAAACTTTCTTCTTCTTGTCTTCTTTCATCTCCACATATGCCACTATAAGAATAGTCGCCCGCGTGGCGCAGTGGTTAGAGCAACTGCTCTAGAGTCGCGGAGAAAGAGGTTGATCCTTACGTCGCGGATTCGAATCCCACTGGGGGACGTGGAGACCGGTCCTTCGGAAGAGACCGTATAAACAGAGGTTCCGTGTCGCAGTAGGTGCTGGCACGAAAAAGATCCCTCACTGCTCAATGGCCCTCAGTGGCGAGTATAGGTCTAAATTTGCAGCCCTCCATCGGCAAGTGGTGGCGTCTCCATATGAGTGAAAGTTTTTTGAGAGGAACGTTAAACAACAAACAAACACTATCAGAGTGGTAAAAATAATATTTAAATAGGGGAAAAGCTGTATCAATGACACCTGTAATTTTTTCTTATTGAAAATAATATGGCCTACCCTTCCAGAAATGCGCAGTCTGTACAAGTGTTTTCTTGAAGGTCTGCCACCTCTATCAATGTGACTCCGTCTTGTCCTTTAATTACAAAATAGAATTTTGCTGAGTATATGTTATATTTATGTATTTACATTAACATTTGTTTTTAAAAATTCAATGTGAACTTAACTTATTTTTGTGTACTCTGTAGGAAATTGTCATTAAGCCTGTACTTTGTAAAATAATTTTATATGTTTATTCGTACTATTCCTACATTATCAAATTCACATGCCTAAAAATGAAGGTTATTAAAAATTTTGAAGATGATTAGCAGATAGAAGACCTATTATAAACAGTAATCAAGAGACATTAGTATGTTGCAGCTTGGTATTACCAAAATCCTCATAAACGCCATTTCTACGGAGTTCTACCCAGTTTGTATTGCTGTAGAATTCTTGAATAGTATACAAAGCTGCTCCAATTTTTTCTCTGATCTGCTCGATGTCGTCTGTCGTGGCAGTCTGGGACAGACCCTTTATTGTTTGTCTTAGATTGCGGATATAATTGTGAGCTGAGATAAAAGAAAGGTTTAGATGTATTTTAAGGTTTCAATGTATACATGTATGGAAAAAATACTTTTTGGGCATTCACTTGTCATGACTTATTAGATTTTTTATGAAATAAAAACATGGGTACCCAATAATTAATTTCTTTACACATTGCCTCACCAACGTGATGATATAAGCTATGTTTAAAGCACTTGGTTGATTATTGAGTATTGAATTAAATATACTAATTTTTTTTATATATTCCAGGCAGTAGTTGATATGGAACAAACGAATTTGGATATGTTTTAATAAATGGATTTAAGGAAACTCTCATTGATCGCAAACACAAATCTTTTTGGCTTCTGTGGAATTTTAGTATTTTCTTTGATGACAAAATGGTCATCAAGCAAATTCGTAACACCTCTGAAAATCCTAGACTCTAATCAAATTTCCTTTAGTCCTGTAGATGTTGCTTATTCTATTACACGGGACATTATAATTGCAACATACCTTTTTACCATAAGTAGATATCAAACACATTGAAACAACCTTTATGACATACCTTTAGATTGTTTCTTTGATAATTCTATGGAGAATAAATTGAAAAAATATTCAAGCAGTAGAAAGTAACTTTCCCAAAACCTAAAAGATACTTGAATTGTTATGTTTACCTATTGCAATCTGCTCGCCATTTACATGGTAAAATGAAACATCAGCAAAATCTCTCTGGATGTTATTCTCGTAACCAATGATTCTGGTGATTATCCTGAGGTAATTTAAATAGGATTCTTGATCTGAAATAAACATGAAATATGCCAAAGCATATGTTCTTGGCTACAAAAGGTTAATTTAGCACCTGTAAAAGACAAAAGCAAAATGTTAAAGGCACAAAGTCTCTGCCTAAAAAATCGACCATCATTTAAAAGGAACTAAAATATTTTTTTAATAAGTGCTTTATTTAAAGATAAATAAAGGGTGGATTTTTTAATAAGTACTGGAAAATTTTCACTGTCACACCTACGATCCACTACTAAAATCAGCTGAGGAGTGCAGTAATTATCTTCCTGAATTATTACTTGGAAAAGTTAATAAGTGCAATTCAAGTTTTAAGTAGATAGGATTTTTCTCCTCGATTTGTTTATAAGTACATTCCCACATAATAACAAATTTAGATCACTTTAACAAACGGTGGTCGGTTATTAATAATTTGCTCTAAATATTCCTCGTATGTAGTCCGATATCATCTGTTGTGACAGCCTGTGACAGACTTTTAATCTTATTGATTATCCCTAATTCCGGATGTATATTATGGCTTTAAAACACTTCTGGGTACGAAACATTCCATTAATAAACGATATGGGGAAAATAATATAACTAAATTATGAGTTAATAAATATATATTCATATATGTCCATCAAAGAACTGAATAAAACTTGTAGTATATGCGATTGAAGTGTTTTTCTTAGAAGGACATAAACTGTCTAATTCTAGTAGGTTATGTCATGGGTGACTAAGAAATTCAGTGTTTCACTTTGCACAAACTCATCACTGTAAGGTGAATAAGAAAATCAAAGATGGCATCAACAGCTTTATAAAATAAGTTGGAAAAATAATCTACAGCTGTCCCCATTTCTTTTCATCTCTTCCACCCTTTTTCAATTTTTTTTTTAATGTCTGATTTCTCAAGCATGAGAATTTATATCCCATATCTTAGAACTAGCTTACAAGGTAACATAATTAAATACCTTTATTATTTCTACAGCAGTATTTTAGTGAATTTTATCCAATTTGTTCACCTGTCTTCTCCGAGTTAGTTACTAAATTAAACTTTGTAAATATAGCCGGAATTGTTTGGCAAATAGTTAATAAGACACCTATACGATCTATATCTGTTCTCAAAATAATTCGAGTTTCCTCATAAACATTTCAGTTTTTTTTTTAAAATTGTAAGCTATATAAAACCATAAACTTGAAAGATTTTAGGAACTTTATTGAGGTTTAAGAATTGTTTTTGTTTCTTTTTTTTATTATATTACATGGACTCTAAAATTAAGTTGAAAATGTCTACAAGACTTCTCGTAGATATTTTCATTGTCAACGTATTAATAAATTGAAAAAGCAGTTAGTATTTGAAATACTTAACCAAAATACTTCAGGTTAGTCTGAGGGTAATTTTGATTTTTATATGGTCAAAATTTGAAAGGTTAAATTTATATCTATAGCTAAGTGTTATGATCCATATATTTTTTTCTATTTTCTTTATAAATGTTATATTTTTATGTAAAACACTGGTGGAAAATTATACAGCTGTATAATAAAATGAATTTTCTTGTCCTTTTTCCCATGAAATAGTGAATTAAATCTTATTCCCAGTCATCAATAATGATTCATTCTCTTTCAATTGGATCTTATAAATGAATACAAATATGGAATATTTCATGCTTCGAATGCCTGTCCTTGTTCTCTGTTCATAAGTTTTGATGCGAGAACTATGTATATTTTTGTGTTTTTATTAGTTACGAAATTTCGATATGTTGTGACAGATACATGTAGTTAATTGTAGAATCCCCAATTTAAGATTCATAGAAATATAAAGAAAAATATAGATTAGGAAAAAACGATTTAAATGAAACATAATGACTACCCAAGGTATATTTTTCTGATGAATTAATAAAAATTACCTGTGCCAAAGAATTCCTGGACTTTTTGCGACGGAGGCAATCCTGTGTTGTTCACTAAGCCAAATGTATCCAAAAACACAGCAGTTGTTCGAAATATAGCCTCCAATGTTATAGAATTGTGGGATTGAGTTTTGGGTTCAGCAGGAATATCATTTGGCGGGAAACTGAATGTGTGGTGAAAGACACAACAGATGAGAAGGGTATGCCACAAGATAGACGACATGGCGAGAGCGTTGACTTGGAGTGATGATAACAGATAATGCACAATATTCTTTTAAGTGGCGTTTAAGTGATATAGACTTCCTCTTCCTATCACTGACTCAGATTGTGTATCTTATGCAGAGTCGAGGTGTCCGTGCTTGTAAAATATGGCTGCATCGAAATTTGAGAAAGCATATCCTCTTTTATCCAATCAACATAAATTGTATAAAGCGATTGTTATTGCGTAGAAAAAATGTAAATAGTATAAAAAGGAAAAATTTTACAACAATTTATTATATGGAACAAGACAAAACTTAAACTAACGTCAAAGAGCGACTAGTATTTTAACTAATATCAAAGTATTTTAAATCTATTTAAGTAGGATAAATTCAAATAAACTGAGTTGATAATTCTACAATAGCCCAGTGGCAACATAAAATTTTCGTGTTTTTGTAAATTCATTCCTTATAACAATCATACATTTTTATTCAGCTGGATTTAAAGAAATTTTTGCTTGTTATTATCCCTGTAGATTCCAGAGGTTAAGACAATACTAAAAAACTAGTTCTTGCTGGTTCACTGCTGAATCAACAAATGGCACCATTCTTGTCTTGTATTTTGTACAAAATGACTTGCATTAATTTATTCAAGCATTTACACACATGCAATATTTTAGGAAAGAAGGTAAAAACAATCGCTTGCCTTGTACGGAAATATGTTGGACAAACTGCTATATATAATAGTCATTGAACAGTTGAAGAGGAGTGAGTCGTCTAAAGTGTGTGTGGTTTTTACCTCGAATGCTAGAGGTTGTTTATGCTTTAGGAACAAAAGACGCTAAGAGATAAGTAAATAGGATTATAAATTAGCAGTGATTGTATTAAGTGTGAGAGAAAATAAATTTATGAACAGTGAAAGAGTTACACTTTCTTCTTGTTTCATCATTTTGTAAATTACATCTATCCCTTATTTGACATTTTCTGCAAAATTATGTAAAAGTCTTCGTTTGATTCGGCAGGGGATGCTCACTCCTCCATGGCACCTGATCCCACCTCTGATGTTTTGGAGGTCTGCTCCTATTTTGTAATGTTTAATGGACTGTTGAGCTTGAATACTGTTTGTTATCTCCATATATTTCATTCACATCAATCTTTTGAATTAAACAATACTGATATTTATTACATTTTCAACAGTGAAATACTGTGATTTATTTATTGAATAAAAGTGATATTCTCACACAGTGTGAAAGGATACCAAAATGATATCTCTCACAGTGTGAAAGGATGTCAAAGTAAGTAAAAAATAATTTCTGGGCTGTCATAAGATAGAGATAGTACCTTGATACAGCTAAAACTACAAATTTCCTCCCAAATATGTTGCTAAAAGCCATGCTATGTAATGTTTGCTAAGCTGTGACGTCACAACCGCTCAACTATGACTTCAAGTCTATGACACTGTGTTAAGAAAAGACAGAGGCAGAGAGAAAATCAAAGAAAATGTAATAAAAAGAAAATTCGATGTTTTGTAGATGAATATGGAATTTATTTCACTCGTGAGACAGGATTTTTTTATATTTTCACTCGTGCTTCGCACTCGTGAAAATATCAAAAAATCCTGTCCCACTCTTGAAATAAATTTCATATTCATCTTCAAAACATTGAATATCCTCTATTTACGCAATTAAAAATATACAGTAAACTTACTTTTTTCCATGCAGTCATCATGTCAGGGAATCTTCTGCGAGTATGCGGATTTTAAATGTACTCTAAGTTTGCTGTGACAAATTTCCGCGGAAAGTAAGTGACCACGTACATAGCGTAAATTAATTCCGAGCAGAAAAGGGTCTGCTGTATGTCGAAAACATTGAAGATAACAAAGTTCAATAAACTATGTTGAAAATTAACAAAATACCTCTTAAAAATCTCATTATTTTATAAAACTCTTGGAAAGTACAATCATACTTAGATTTTGTAAGCCTCAATGTTATTTATTTCATGAGTGTGCAACGTGTTTTCTTTAGATGGAAATTAAGCAAGCGTAAATTGAGTCGTTTACAATAAAATGTGCTTCTTAATGACATTATCTTGATCAATTTCTTTTTAAAAATTCGTCATTGATATATTTCTCTTTTATACGTATCCCAAATTTGGATTGGAGTTATATTATGCATTCCTCAAAGGAAGGAAGTTCCAGATGGAAACTTCTTTGATAAAGAAGGAAAAAGTATAAATAAAACATGCAAAAGCTGAGCTTTAACGTTGAGGAAAGTTTGTATGAAATTTTCCTGATTACTTAATATATATCCGCCGTTCTAAGTATGTAAATCCGTTCGTGCAATGTGTGCATAAACGATATTTTTTTTAATCCAGACTTTCTTAATTTTAAGGAGAAATATATTTGATTATTTCATTTCGTAGTTATTCAATTTTAATATCTCTGACATACTGTTTGAATATACGGTTGAATAAATAATTCCTAGCTCTCTGATTGGCTGAAATGCAACTTTGTGGAAATCACAACACCCTATAGGTGAAAATAACATTTATTTTTTTTCTAGTTTGGTCTAAAAATAAATGTGAACTTTCAGACAAATGCAATTAGTTCTGAAATGTTATATTATTTCACCTGCACCCGACAATCCGGATGAACGAAACTTTTTTTTTTTTTTTTTTTTTTTTTTTTTTGGACATCGGTCTGAAACTAGATCGAGAAATTCTAAATTGATGCTACTAAATATGAAAAGTTATGTTCACCTGCATCCTACCTTCCAAGTGAAATTAATAACTATTTTCTTTACATTGAACCAGATCTAGAACTTCTAAAATGATACAATTGGTTATGAAAAATTATTGAATCTGGACTAGTTTTAGGTGATCATATCATTTAATCTTTTTCTACATCACGCAAATGATAAGCGAAGAAATTCTATATTTATACCTGTTTTATGTTATTTTTTTTCTAGCTAGTGTAGATATTTTTGCACTTATACTACATTCAAATCATGAAGTCAATCACTGTCATTTTCTTCTCTGAAAACTCAGATATTTTTATGTCAAAGAAACCAATCGTTTTATCCTCTAACCAATGAGAGAAAACTTCCTTCTTTGTATCTCTGAGGAACAAACACAACTCTTAATAGCCAACTGAAACAATATTTTGGAGGTCTGATTCATTGTATTTATTTACACAATAACATTTCCTATCAGGAACATGTCTTAACTCCTTGTCGTGAGTCAGATTATAGGAGTGTAGAGGGCTGAAAGATCAACTTCGGTCTTAAACTCTTGAGTCTTTTCCCCTCAACATTGCTTGGTTATAAACATGAAAAAATAAATAAAATCTCAACAAATGAAATATATGAGGCACCAACATGAGGAAAACTTAACATTAATAAGTTTAATTGATATTTTGATATTCCCATCTGCGTATAACACACCTTTCTCCATCTCTGACATATCTTCCTCAAATCTTATCTAATTTTTTTTCGAGATTTTGTGATAGGTATCCATGGCAGAAAAAAAACATCGGATCAATTGCTTATTAGGTGAAGAATATTTTTTAATTATTACAAGTACTTAGTAATCAATTTTTTTTTACTTCCTTACACAAAAGGCTCACAGCCTTGTGGCAAAATATATTCATTTATGTAGATACCGCCTACAGAACCAATTATGTTGACTTTTTGTATTCTGATCGTTTATTTGTGTTTTCCTAGTGGAATATACAGCCTGAATCCTGATCGAATTCGACTAAACAAACTGAAAAACATTGTAGAAACCTTACAATTGACTCAAAGAAAACAAAATACCTATATTCAAGGAAATCACTGTCCGTGCATGTGTAAATTAAATGTTAAAAAAATCAAGAAAAGAAAATTCAAAATCTTGAGATGAATGTTAAACAACAAATGGAGACAACCAAGAAATTTTCATGGAAATGCGAGTTGTGTTTGACAGAAAGCAATGTCCAAGGTTTAGCAAAGGAAAACAAGAATGGAAACAAAACGCATTCTAAAGATATAGACTTCTTGTCTGAAAACAATTTAGTTAGAAAATAAGAGAGAATTCTTCAAATTCTCACGGGAAAAAAACGCCTTTTGACCCCAGGTATGTTAGAGTAGGTATAGTAAATGTTGCACTGTTTTAAATGAGTTAACTTTTAAATATTTTTTAGTCAATAATATAATTAAAAACTAAGTTTTCTGTTTCCATGTACCGGTATTTTGTATAAACTTAACGTGGCGCATGTATGCTGTTGTCTATTCAAGCATAAAATCATAGCATTTATGACAAAGGTGATGAATAAACATTAAATCGACTACAAATTGAATACAGTTTCGAATACAACTCAACGAGATAAGACAGTTCCAAAAAAAATACTTTCTATTACTTTTACATGCAAAAAAGTTTTGCCAAGAAGTAGTTGGAATTGCAAGTCTTTTTTCCGAATCTATCATTGCTTCATCTTTTCTTGCAGTTGAACAAATGGTAAATAAAGCGGCATTTTACGCGTATATGACTGACAATCTCGAGCTTCTCGGACGTGGTCAAACACTGATTTTCCACTCGACTGTTACAATTTTAGGAAACCACTACAATAACCACAGCGGTATCTTTACTGTCTCTGATCAAGGCCTCTATATATGTTTTTACATGGATAATAGTGGCAAACAATCCTGGCTATGTATACACTTAAATTCTCGTCAACTCAGACATTGTTGAATCAATGTATACTTCTGCATATGATGTAACTAACGTTAGGACGACAACTGGTGCTGTTATTGTACAAGTTAACCAAGGAAATGCAGTCTTCGTTCGAAAGAATCCAAACGGAAGTCTTAATTATTGATAAAATTGGTAATGGTGAATTTCAGCTATCAACCTTTAGTGGATGAAAAGTTTATTAAACTTTAGTTATAAAACAGTATTTTTCATTTACACTGTATAGCAAAATGTAATCTTCCACAGATTTAATTAGAACAAGATTGTGACCAAACTCTATAATTCTCATATAATGTTTAGTCATTGATATTTAATTTCATGTTAATTCTA